TTAATATCATCATTTGCATATGTTCCAGAATCACCCCTGGTTCGCGGGTCTCGACTGGGAGAATCTCCGCGAGATGCAAGCGCCGTTTGTGCCTGACGTGTCATCTCCTACTGACACCTCCAACTTTGACGTCGATGACACGGATATTAGGTGAGTTATTGGTGGTTTAAAAAGTAATTAAGTAAAGCTTTTTTACACAACGAGGAAGCTCTTGATCTACGTCTCACCTGATGGAAAGTGATGATCAGGTCGAAGATGTTTCTAAGCAAATAAATGAATTATTTATTTATTTAAAGGTGGAAGCAAATTTCATCCGGAATCTATTACAGAGGAACTGATTATTTTACTTCTAAATTGCCGTATTTATGAGCTTGTTCAGATTCGCACGTTTCGAATCTTACGATTGTGAGATTCGTACATTCTGTCTAGATGCAATCGCGCTTTTTGTCTATGAACCTCGATCGCGCTATTGCGAGATTAGTAGGCCGTGTCCACATAACGCGTTTTTACTCGCGCGTTTTGAATTGAGCGATTGAGATTCTTAGGCAAAACGCGCGATTGCATGTGGACAGAATGTATGAACCTCTAGTAAATCACAATCGCGCGATTCGAAACTCGCGAGTAAGAACTCGTCATCTGGACAGGCTCTTAGGCGAAACGCGCGACTGCAAGTGGACAGAATGTATGAACTTCTTGCAGAGTAAATACAAATGAGTAGGTCATCTTCATAGAAACGCCCGAGCGCGGTCTACTCCGACCTACTCATTTGTATTTACTCGTCCTCTAGTATCTCACTATCGCGCGATTCGAAACTCGCGAGTAAAAACGCGTCATCTTGACAGGCTCGTAGAGCTAAAAATTAAATAACTAGGCTCGTAGAGGTTCAAACATTCTGTCCACTGTAGTCGCGCGTTGTGCCTGTGAACCTCAATCGCACAATTCAAAACGCCATTTGGACCAGCTCTTTGTACAGTCGACAGCACGTCAACGTAAACACTGTGATATCTTACCTAGTTGCGATAAGGGCGACTTTGCAACGAAAATGTATAGTCTGATGTGCTGTCGTCTGTACGTGCCAATAAATATTTAACTTATCCACCTACAACATAAGACTGTTTATCCCCCAGGCTATCCGAAGCGGTCCCGCCGCCGCAAGCGTCGTCTGCCTTCTCAGGGCTGCACCTGCCGTTCGTGGGCTTTACATTCACGGCTGGGTCCCGCCTGTCCGACCTGGGCGCGCCCGCCGGCCCGCTCAGCCCAGCTAAGAATGCTCCTAGCCAGGTACAAGTTGTGAAGAAATAAGCCTTAACATAGTGGATGCGACGTAAAGATAAGCTCTAAAGGAGCACTATGTGACGCTCGAAAGGCCCTAAAGACACATCTCTCAGCCCTGCCAAGAACTCTCCAAGCCAGGTAACACTTGTAGACAGATATAGTCTGGTCTGTGAGCACGTAGAATTTTGTCCAATGACCCCAAGCTACCCATCCTTATCGCTCGCGCGTAATTATGTTGCTATCGCGCTCGCACACTCACTGCGGGCGCCCGTCGCACAGTCGCAACAGCAATATAATTACGCGCGAGCGATAAGGATGGGTAGCTAGGGGTCATTGGACAAAATTCTACGTGCTCACGAATAGGGCTTTAGCGTCGTCGCGTTCTCGGGGCTGCACCTGCCGTTCGTGGGCTTTACATTCACGGCCGGGTCCCGCCTGTCCGACCTGGGCGCGCCCGCCGGCCCGCTCAGCCCAGCTAAGAATGCTCCTAGTCAGGTACAACTTGTAAAGAAATAAGCCTTAACATATTGGATACTAGTTGAAAAACAATCATAGCTCGAAAACTATCAAAAATCGCGGAACATACATGGGGGTGATTTGGATAGCCCTAGTGATGCTCTACCTCTGGGCTTCGGCTTGATACGACTACTTGAGACACCCTGTATAAAACAGCTCAAACGACACTAATAACATAGAACGTGACAATTGGACAACCCTAGTGCAGAATCTAAAAATGAAACAACCCTAACGTACTACGTGACGTGAACGTGGATCGCTGAGTCGCTCCAAGAACGCGCCAGCCAGGTCGGTACTATAGTTTGATCCGTGAGCACGTAGAATTTTGTCCAATGACCCCAAGCTACCCATCCTTATCTCTCGCGCGTAATTATGTTGCTATCGCGCTCGCACACACACTGCGGGCGCCCGTCGCACAGTCGCGACAGCAATATAATGAGGGCTATCGTTTTAGCGCTCACCAGTTGGCGCCACTGTAGAGTAAGGTCCTGTCACTTGCTAGTAGCGAAGACAGTGGCACCAACTGGTGAGCGCTAAAGTGGTAGGAGGACTATCGCAATTGCACTCATCAAGATGGCGCCACTGTAGAGTAAGGTCCTGTCAATCGGCAGGAGTGCCAACTGTTAAGTATAAAAACGATAGCCCTCATTACGCGCGAGCGATAAGGATGGGTAGCTAGGGGTCATTACACAAAATTCTACGTGCTCACGGATAGGGCTTTAGCGTCGTCCGCGTTCTCGGGGCTGCACCTGCCGTTCGTGGGCTTTACATTCACGGCTGGGTCCCGCCTGTCCGACCTGGGCGCGCCCGCCGGCCCGCTCAGCCCAGCTAAGAATGCTCCTAGTCAGGTCGGTACATACGTAGCAATACATGTTGGACAACCCATTACACCGATTTGATTTGGCCGATTCTTCATACAATTTAAAATCAGGTACAACTATCCAACCAACCAACTTGGTTGCCAACTAAAAATCGGTGGTCTGCGCCTAGTCTAAAGTAAAGTCCAACGATTCTGAAACGACAAGCGGCAAAATACGAACTAAATAACCCAGTATTGATAATCAAAATCAAAATCAAAATTATCTTTATTTGTTTAGACTAATTAAATTAGTTCTTGCAAATCGTCAAATGCTCTTAAGGAGCCTATACATGTCTCATTCTTTTTTTGCCCTACCAGCAGCAGATAGTAGCGTCTTCCTGTCAATGTTATATCTGGGACACTTCAGAGATAATTTAAGTGAAAATTCTTTTTTATCTAAATTAAAATTAATAAGTTTGATTTTTCATGCCAATAGGTGAAAGATAGAGATACTAAAATACTTGTAACTAATACTACTTGTAAATAATTTATGGCAACCCGAAATACCCATACCGAATCCAAAAATAGCTTCTCTAAAGAAGCCTTTGTTGAAAACAGCCATTTTAATTTAATATATTAATTTCAGGCGCCATCCAACGCAGGCGACCGCGCCGCCCTGAAAGCCTTGGAGCGGGAGAACGCCTTACTAGCCCAGACCATCGCAGAGCTTAGGGCGGGCGGCGCCGCCCTAGACGCCGGCGGTGGTAAGTACATAGCATTTGACATATTTTGCAATGAGGGCTATCGTTTTAGCGCTCACCAGTTAGCGCCACTGTAGAGTAAGGTCCTGTCACTTGCTAGTAGCGAAGACAGTGGCACCAACTGGTGAGCGCGAAAGTGGTAGGAGGACTATCGCATTTGCACTCATCAAGATGGCGCCACTGTAGAGTAAGGTCCTGTCACTTGCTAGTAGCGAAGACAGTGGCACCAACTGGTGAGCGCTAAAGTGGTAGGAGGACTATCGCAATTGCACTCATCAAAATGGCGCCACTGTAGAGTAAGGTCCTGTCAATCGCCAGGGGTGCCAACTGTTAAGTATAAAAACGATAGCCCTCATTGTAATTGGTGATAAAGTGCTTCAAAAGTAGTGGGATATGATATCCTTAATCATCATCATTATCATTTCAGCCACATGACGTCCACTGCTGAACATATGCCTCCCCCAATGATTTCCTTACTAACCGGTTGGTTGTAGCCTGCATCCAACGCCTTCCTGCTACCTTGACTTCCTTACCTTATAGTTAAACTCTCGAATCAGAATCAAATTGACCTTTGCTTGTAGAATATAAATAGGTCAATGGTGCATTATATTTTGAACAAAGTGGTAACTTAAAAAAACAAATGTAATTTAAGGATACACTGCAGGAAAACGACCGTCTCTAATTTACCAGAGGCAAATGGAGCATTTAGTATACACTTCCCAAACTGGCTAGATGGGTTGAAGAGGTTTTATTGTCTTAGCACATCACATTCGCACTTCGTAACTGCCATGCGCATGCATTTTGTTCTTAACTGGACGCCCTAACTGGATAAGTTTGTTACAGAGGAACTAATACAGTTGAAAGAAGAATTGGCGACGCTGTCGAAGCGAAACGCGGATCTCGAGGCGCAGTTGCGATGCTACGAACAACTTAACAGCGGAATGACAGCGCAGGTATTTTCTTTAAATTCACCTAAAACTTTTTTTTAAGAATATGAGCTAACTACTATTCCTGCTAATCTCTCCCGCTATGCTAAATATATGCTTGTTTAGATGTGTTAACCACAATAGTTTAGCGGTCGACGGGGTTTAAGTCGAGCTACCGACACTCGATCTAGAATCGGTGGTCCGTCACTGACACCGTTGGGCTATTATCGCCTCGAATGTGGCTTCTATAGTCTGGTCTGCGAGCACGTAGAATTTTGTCCAATGACCCCAAGCTACCCATCCTTATCGCTCGCGCGTAATTATGTTGCTGTCGCGCTCGCACACTCACTGCGGGCGCCCGTCGCACAGTCGCAACAGCAATACTATTACGCGGTTGGGGTCATTGGACAAAATCCTACATGCTCGCAGACCAGGCTTTAGACTTGATGAGTACTCCTTATTCGCTCTGATGAATTTAAATAAAAATAGTTTAAATTTAGCAGACGCAGTTTTATTGCAGAGAGATTACCACAGACAACAAGATGGCGACATAGAGCGATTTGTCTATTAACTAGAGACGTAACTATACTAGTGTAGATCAGCTGAATCGGTAAATAGGGTTCAATANCCGGTACCTTAGTAAACTTAAAGCTTAGTTACAACAGGATATTGCAAAATTCCCACGGGAAGGGGAGTTAGCGGGAAAAAAATTGTATGAAAAAATCTGAACCGCGTAAGATAGATGAAGGGGGGGTAAAACGAGATCCACGCGTACGAAGTCGCGGGCGGCCGCTAGTTTCTTAATAAATGATTAACATATACCATAAATGTGACTTGAAAAAAGACCTTATTTTTTGAAGAAGTGACTCTGGATCCTTCTAAAGACACATTTTTGGGGTAAAAACCTTTCCTATAATGAAATCAAGTTTAGAACTAGGCTTTTAAATAGTCCCAATATTGGTGGGAAGTGGGGATGCATACGTTTGAAAGTGCTTGTCGCGGGAGGGTCGATTTTTGTGATGACCAGTGTATATTCTTATTTCTTGTGTCTACCAAACATGTGTTCTTCTGTGATGTGTCTTACTGTAAATAAACTAATATTGTTTTATTTTATTTTCTCAATCCCAGGATATGGCGTCGTGTCCGCCAGAGATAGGCGCCCGCCTCAGAGAGCTAGAAGCCAGTGTTGCCAACCTAACGCAAGAAAAGGAGGAGCTGGCCAAAGACAAGGCCGATATGAGCGAGAAACTGAGGCTACAGGTGCGTGTGTTGTTTATGGTCGTCGATTTGTTTCTTTTTTTGTTTTGTACTTACATATAATTGATATAACACCGAGTTTCGATACTGCATTGTTTTTATTACACTCAAGCTTAGTTGCACCATCTTACTTTGGCTTTAGCAAACGTCAAAAATCTGTCAAACTCCATACAAAAAGCACCGGTTATTGTTAAAGATACGGTTAAAGTAAGTTGGTGCAATTTAGCATAAGATCGTACCATAATCACCTCTGTTGAATAATTTGAGTTTTATGTGTTTGTGTGATCTGACATTGATATTACATATTTGTTTCGTATAGTACAGTCAGTGTCAAATAGTTCCTGAGACCCAAAGTATAGTCCAACGGTTTGGAAAAGTCGAGTGGCAACAATAAAAAACTAACAACACAGTATTGATTGAGAGTATAGATGAACTACACTGAACTGTCCTTTATTTGACACTGACAGGGGGGCCACCGTCAATAGCGGATCGCTAGTTCCGACTTTTGCCACGGTGGAAACCATATAGTTGCACGAAGATGGTGGCGCCCTGCTGTCAATGTCGTCGGTGGGACATTTCAGTGTAGTTCATCTATAGCGTCCACCTGCAAAATATATCAATTCAAACGTGGCAATAATAGGAACTAATAATTTGGTATTAATAGTAGCACCCTCCTGACAATGTCATAGCTAGGGCGGTTCAGTGTAGGGCATCTTTAGCCAAAAACTCTTTGTTTAGAATTGGAACAAGATTGTGTTGTCAACTTTTGGCCACTTTTGGTGTCACGAACTATTCGACGCTGACTGTACGCTACGGCCATAGACAATAGCACGAAGTGTGGTTAACATAAGCGTGATTAACACGGCGTGTTGCTAACCTATCCCGACAGGACAAGGAGTTGCAGGACGCTTTGGAACAGCGGCGATTGGCCATGGCCGAGTACAAGGAGGTGGCGGATAAGCTGGCCGACCTAAGGCAGCAGAAACACAAGCTGTCGCGACAGGTGACTGTATACTTCACTCATCATCATCAGGTCGGGCCCCACTGCAGGAAAATGACTCCTATTATGTCCAGATGGGCTTGCCATGTCTTTAGTGTCAGTCTTTGTTGCGACAGGTTTACACTTTACTCATCGTCATCAGGTCAGTCCCCACTGCAGGGGATTGACCCCAAGATGGCTGGACGAGCCTGCTTATCATGTGAATTCTACGAGCTATGTAAAGTCGCTGCGCTGTCCGCATCCAGGCTTTACCCGCGACCTTCAGATCGTCTGTCTACCGAGGGTTACCTGTACCGTGAACTACACTCGACACCAGCGTTGCCAGACGTCCCGATTTTGGCGGGACGTCCCGATTTTTAAATCAAATTTAAATGTCCCGCGCGGGACAGGCTCGGTCCCGCTTTTCGGAGAGAGACACTTACTTCACCAGACTATAGCGGAGAATAATTTGGTGGCAGGCCTTTGTTCAAACAATCATTGCAAACGTTGTGATAGGGATAGAGACATGCGATTTTTGGTTATCCAAAGGTAATACGATAAAGAATAACATATAGTAATAAAAACCACCTGTTATAGGGGCATTATTTGGAGAAATTTATCAAATAACCAAAAAAAACATGAATTTAAAAGCAGATTTTTTTTGTTTCACCTTAATTTAAATGTGCACTTTATCGTGACTCACACTGTGTATACGTTTTTTTACTATGTCCCGCTTCTGACGGAAGAGTCCCGCTATTTTCACTCAAAAAGTACCAAAGTCCCGACTTGGCGAAAAAAAAAACTGGCAACGCTGCTCGACACTTATCTACTTCAACCATCAGTTCTATGGGCTATTTGCCGCGCCCACTGCCACTTAAGTTTGGCTATTCTACAAACTGTCTTCAGGCATTTACACCCCTGAAGCAGAGTTAGCTACGACCTTCTGTAATATCAATTTAATCAACGAAGTGTGTACGTAACTAAAGCCCGGTCCGTGAGCACGTAGAATTTTGTCCAATGACCCCAAGCTACCCATCCTTATCGCTTGCGCGTAATTATATTGCTGTCGCGACTGTGCGACAGCAATATAATTACGCGTGCGGGGTAACTAAAGCCCGGTCCGTGAGCACGTAGAATTTTGTCCAATGACCCCGCACGCGTAATTATATTGCTGTCGCACAGNCAATATAATTACGCGTGCGGGGTAACTAAAGCCCGGTCCGTGAGCACGTAGAATTTTGTCCAATGACCCCGCACGCGTAATTATATTGCTGTCGCACAGTCGCGACAGCAATATAATTACGCGCAAGCGATAAGGATGGGTAGCTTGGGGTCATTGGACAAAATTCTACGTGCTCACGGACCAGGCTTTAGTGTAGCGGCTCAACGTTGTAACTTTCATCGTGTGCAAATTCGAGACTACACCTAGATGTCCTATATTTTTTATGCATATGATAGCCCTCGCAAATTAAATTAAATCATAATTCAATAATAATAACGTTCATTACCAGGTGCGGGACAAAGAGCAAGAGCTCGAGAAAGAGATGCAAAAGATCGACGCTCTCCGCCAGGACATCCGGCGCTCCGATAAAGGCCGCCGCGAGCTGGAAGCGAGGCTGGATATGGCCATCGCTGAGGCCACCAAGGTATATAATATTTGTTTCGCTAATTTTGTTTTTGTAAAAGTTCTTGTAAAGATAGCGCACATAATGGACGACATTTTCGTTGACGAGTACAAATTACAATTCATCGCATTTTCGCAAACATCTTGTCACAGTCTGTGACCGGCATAATACATTTCTGCTACTGGTTTCGTGCAAAAGGAACTGGGTCCCCGTTAATATAGGTCTAGCGGTGTTTTTGTAACGTCAACGAGACTTCAGATTTATGTTCTGTCACGTCATAAATGTCAATGTCTCCCCTCGGTCAGACCCATAAATTAAGATTAAAGAAGACTAGATGATCACTAGTTGTGACACACTAGTGACGTTTAGTATGGAAATTGAGTTTTAGTAGTGTTCAAAATTCGTGTAACTTTTAATGGAGGCTATCTTGTTTATACTTAACATTTGGCACCACCGCAACTGGTGACAGAACCTTACCCTACAGTGGTGCCAACTGCCAACTAGTGAGGATACGATGGCCCTCATTAGTGTGATTTGTTTGTAACTGGTTTATATTTCTTCAGGAGCGCAAACTTCGTGAGGAGACGCTTCGCTCGCAGCGCGGCGAGACAGTTAGCGCCGGGCCAGCCGCAGATGTAGCGCGACTGCAACACGAAGTGGAGGCTTTGGAGGTCAGTACTAAGGAGTTGACAGGCCCCATTCGGTGGTCCGACGATCTGGTGAAGGTCGCGGGAAGCAGTTGGATGCGAGCAGCGCAGGAAATCCGCGGTGGATGTCTTCGTCCATTCTTGTTGAAACGAGTGGCCATTGGACGCGACATTCAGTTGGCATACTTTTTCGTCATCATTAGGTCATTAATTTAACCTAGGCGCAGACCACCAACTTTTAGTTGGCTGATAGTTGAGCCCGATTTTAATTTGTACGAAGAATCGGCTGATACCAAATCGGTGTAATGTGCGCACTTTCATATATCTCTATACTGATTAACAGCCCGACTCGACTATTTGCCAACTAAAAGTCGGTGGTAAGCGCCTAGGCTTAGTTTCTAGTGCAAGAGCATGATCCTCTCTAATTTACTAGGGGAAAATAGAATAATAATGTTTGGCATAATAATGCCAAACCCCTTTTTTAAGATTTGGTTGATGATCAAAAATCAATTGGAAGACTCGCTCACCCGTGCGTGAGTGACGTCACTCATCGCTTCCCGTGACAAATCGATCGTTGATCTGTGTGGCATCTAATGTGTTAAATGGAAAGCATTTTATGTGTCACCTGTTTGTTCCAACAGCTGCAATACAAGGAATCTCTGGCGCAGCAGCAGGCCCGGTATAACTCCGAAATAGCCGCGCTCCGCGACCAACTGCAAGAGACTGACGCCATGCGGAATGTGCTCAACCGAGAGGTGAGTGAGAAAACAACTCTATGTGGTTGCAATAGATTCTATTTCTCAACAAAATTGTGCAGTCTGATGTACAAAAAAAATGCTTTGACTTTGTTACAGTCACGTCAAAAATGTTATGGAACTAATCGATGGAACAGAAACCTCAGGAGAGAGGTTACTTTATAAGGCCTCATTTTTGAACATGAACTTTCATTTACACCTAGAGAAATAGCTTCGAAAGAGTTTTGTTCATCTATCATTTTTAAACAGTGAAACAAATAAATAATAAAAATATTCTTGGGCAGTTAAAAATATTGTCCGTTCCAAGCTAGAAGCTTGGTTTCATTGAAAGAAAGAAATGTTGCCCAACGTGGTGTAATTTAGCTTGTCTTAGACTCGAGCACAGTTTCGTTCGACTTATGTTAGTGATCGGTACTGTGCCGATGCGATAGGGCTGACTGTTACAAGAAACTGTATCGCCACCTAGCGTACCACACGCGTATTTTTTGTTATTTCCATAGTGAATAATTTGTTAACAATGGCTGAAGAATACGCGTGGTTATACAAAATCAAAATTCGTTAGGTAAATTACATATACGTTACTCACTACTCCTTGTTTTAATGCCTTGTGGATTAAAAATCCCAGGAGAGTACGCCGTGCGTGTTTTGTGTTCGATGTATGAGATGAACAGGTCTGCTTTTACTATGATACTAATAACACCAAATCTGTTTCAGCTGCAAACTTCAAAAGAAAAGCTGGAAAGTCGCCGCCTGGAACAACTTAGCGACAGCGAAGACAAACAGATGCTCATCAACGAGAACAGGAAACTGGCCAAAGACTTGGACGCGGTGCGTGTATTTTGAACTTTATGTCGTTGTATTAAAATCGAAAATCAATGAAAAATCTCATACTGCCCGTTTTAAAGATATTATTCTGTAGGCGTAGTGTGAGTTTATATCAAACGCTTCGACTGAGTTAAAAATATGTATGAAAATTTTAGTTAGGGGTGCTGTACAATCCGTCATACATTTAATGTCACTTTTTTACGCAGTCACTAGTGAAGACGTTTGATGTAAAGTCACACTAAGGCCCAGAACAGACGGTGAAACGCAACTGCAACGAAACTGCAACTGCTAGTTACTTTTGAGTTGCATCTAAGTTTCTGCCATAGCGTCCGTTGAGAGACCACACACGGCGCGACCAGTTTGAAACTGTCAGTTTCAGTTTCATTCATCAGAATGATCAGAAGGTTGCAGTTCCGTTGCATTTGCGTTTCGCCGTCTGTTCTGGGCCTAAGCCCTCTTATCAGTAATTAGTAATTGAAATTAAGTATATTGACATCAGAATCAACAAAATAGGGCAGCCAGTATGTGACGTTATTGACTACGCTACGTTGTGAGGGATGTACTATTAAATTTCAAATGGGACTTAAAGTGGTAAGTCTGAAAAAGAAACTGCGGTAATATTAGAATTACATATTTGAATTATATCATAAACAGATGGCAGAGAACGGCAGGCGGTGGCATGCGGAAAGGCGGCAGTTGGAAATGGAATTGGAAGAGTATAGAGCGAAACGCGACACCATGCAGCATTGGGAGATTCAGGTTCGAACACTACACTCGTGTGTTAAGTTTGTTTTATTGCTATAGTCTTGTCTGTGAGCACGTAGAATTTTGTCCAATGACCTCTAGCTACCCATCCTTATCGTTCGCGCGTAATTATATTGCTGTCGCGACTGTGCGACTGGCACCCGCAGTGAGTGTGCGAGCGCGATAGCAACATAATTACCCGCGAGCGATAAGGATGGGTAGCTTGGGGTCATTGGACAAAATTCTACGTGCTCACAGACCTGTCTTTAAATAATAATACACAATATCTGAATAAGTAAAACACTTTCAAATGCTGTTTTTTGTTCATTGACTTGTGAAAAGGGTACTAGCACATTGTAACTGACAAATTAATGTCAAAAGTTTTTAGAAAACAATACATTAAATGTCTCAAATAAAGTATTTAAGTTGTCTTTGGCATTCATATTGCTGTTAAGCGGTTTATACTATTCTATCAAGAGATTTGTTCCAATTTTATTTTCGTGTATATGGACGACATCTTTATGAATGCAAAATCTAAAGCAGATCATTCTTCATTTGTACGGATATTAATGTCTAGATTGTTAACTAGCTTTATTTTTGGCTTGCAGATAGCAGATATAATTCGATGGGTGGCAGACGAGAAAGAGGCTAGAGGCTACTTGCAAGCGCTCGCGACTAAGATGACTGAGGAGTTGGAGTATCTCAAACATGGTGGGTTTTATTTCTTTTAAATAAGATTTAATTAATGAATAGGTGATTTAAGTGCTTTTTTTAAGCCTATTTACAGAAATAAATGAGTTTTATGAGTTTTAGTTTTTTAAGAATGAGTTTTTGCGATGTTACAAATAATCTGGTTCAACGAGGTTACGGAGAAACCGGACGAGCTTACGATCCTTGGGCTCTTTAGTAATATTTCTGTCATGCTAGATGCAAGAAAAGACCACTTGTAGAGTGAAGAAAAGTGTATAATTTGACATTAAAAATATTTGCATAGTATTCGCGTGTAGTTCTTTTTTTTTTGCATAGTCAAAAGACTTCACTCCGTTGTCATCCGCATGTTATATAGCGACGTGTGTTATGTCCCAGGAGTTACAGAAGCATTTATCTGTGTTGCAGCGAGTGCATCACGCGGCGTGCCGCCATCGTCGCCTCCGGGCGCCGCACCAGGTGGCTGGCGGAACCGGCGTTCCCAGAAACTGGACAAGATGGAGATCCTCACGCTGCAGTCGTCGCTCCACTCCGAGATCCAGGCCAAGCAGGCTGTTGGCGAGGAGCTGAGCCGCACGCGAGCCGAGCTGCTGGCTAGCCAGAGGTCAGTCCCCGTCACCGTCATTATCATCATCATCAGGACAGGTGGAGAGCCTCAAGCTCCAAGTCGCTTCATTCCGAGACCCAGGCCAAGCAGCTGCTGTTGGCCAGCCAGAGGTCAGTCCCCGTCACCGTCATTATCATCATCATCAGGACAGGTGGAGAACCTCACGCTGCAGTCGTCGCTTCACTCCGAGATCCAGGCCAAGCAGGCTGTTGGCGAGGAGCTCAGCCGCACGCGAGCCGAGCTGCTGGCTAGCCAGAGGTCAGTCCCCGTCACCATCATCATCATCAGGACAGGTGGAGAGCCTCACGCTGCAGTCGTCGCTCCACTCCGAGATCCAGACCAAGCAGCTGCTGTTGGCCAGCCAGAGGTCAGTCCCCATCATCATCATCATCACCAGGTCATTCAGTCTCTCTTGCACGCGCAGTGGACTGCTCTGGCCAACCATAAGTCTGTTGTCATCAACATCATCATCATCATCAGACCCGTACGCAGCGCCTTCGACGTTTTTCTTTTTTCTCCTCACTCTTCAGGCGTCATTGCACTCCGAGATCCAAGCCAACAACTAACACCCATATTCACAAACATCACTATGAGGTCTCACAGTGCGCGTGGACGCACAGGGTGACACACGAACCAATCACAGAGCTCTTTTCAGCGCTGTGCGTTCGATTTGCTGCTTCACTTAAGCAAGCATCGTTTGTGAATACGGGTGTAAGACTTAAAAAGACTGCGGGACCACACTCCTCACAACCATCACATGCTCAAATTCTAAAAACTAACCTACGGGACACATATGGTCCTTCGAGCCGGTTTTTTTCTTGAATTTCATTAGCTAAAAAAACGTTCACTACCATAGTCCTTCCCCAATAATTTCCAGATTGGTAATCTTTTTGGTATATATGAAATCGTCTGTTCACTTATTGTTCACTTCTGTAGCTGTGCATTATTAATAAATCCCCAATAATTTCAAGATTGGCCTGTTGGTACTTATGAAATCGTCTGTCCACCTTGTGTACACTTCTGTAGCTGTGCCTTGTTCCTCAGGGAGCTGATGGAAACCCGCCAGAGGCTGGACTCTTTAGCGCGCGATATGAAACACAAGGAGCAACACATTCGCGATATGCAGGCGCGCCTCGACGCGCCGCACCAGCCCGCCAGCTCCTGTGAGTATGCCACGCTATATTACTCGCACACATACGCTTTAGTTCAAGTGCTAGAGCGTGAGAGGTGAACTGAGATGATAAGACAGACAAGGAAAGCATATTTATAGGATCCCGTTGGTATATAAGATTTTAAACTTTCGCGCTCCATTTCAACCAAAATAGTAAGACACGGGTTTAAGACCCGTGACGTTTATTAATGAGTTACATTATGTACTCACGGCTTGACGTTTCGGCTGCGATGCTGCAGCCGTGGTCACAAGCAGACTGGCGGCTCGCGGCGTCGTCCGTTCGGCGTTAAGACCCGTGTCTTACTATTCCCGTTGGTATACTTCAGTTACGAAACCACTTATGCTTCAACCACACCAACGCGTGCAGATCGCCATCGGCGCGATCAAAGGCCAATGACAGGTCGCTCGACCCACGACAGTTAAAACTCAGTAAAACTCAGTGAGTGGTTGATTTTTTACACCTCCACGCGCGATATTTTTTCTATGTTTTAAATAATTGAAAAGGTCTTAATTTTACATTTTGAACACAAGAGAGTCCGAAATACTCTTCATTTATAAATTTTTATTAAACTCACGTAAATTGCCAAGACATAAAAACGCCAACCTCCTCTCAACCAACAACTCTGAACCCGCACGATAGTTTTCGTGCAAAATATTATTTTTGTCACGAAACCAAAATGACAGGCTTTTTTTTCATTATTTGTGCATTTTTTTTTAAACGAGCGTGTTTTTCCTTCGTTTCCAAAATAATTTGTATACTACACATTGAAGAGACATTATTTAATGATAAATTGCTTGACTACTTCAGCTCAAGCACAAATAAAAATATTGCAAGAAACTGAAAATGCTTTAGCACTGTAGCAGTTTAAATAAACTGCTAGGTCACAAAAGATGTGTTTTTTATTTTGTTCTTATATTTATTATGTATTTATTAATATTTTACTAATTATTTATATATTTCACATATACACACAATCTATAATATGTTTATTTAGTGCACCATTTCTTTTTGTTTTCGTTACATGTTACCGCACATTCCCATCCCATAAACGAACGCCGTATGGCACCGTCCGCCCCAATATCATGGAAACTTGGGCTCCCATCACAAAGTCCAACGTCGTCCGCGACGGAAAAAACGAAAATAAACTCTATGGTCAACGGATGCCATACTCTATGGACTCTAAATCGTGTGTGAAAATCCGAACTGTGATGTGAATATTGGCTGTTTTAAATTTGGAATATCACTTGTGTTGTGATGATTGGCTGTTGAATTCCGAACGTCGTTTTTGTTACCCGTAACGCAACGATCATGTATTATCTGTGGCATTTATTTAATCCGCGTTTGACGCGTTCTTATTTTTGTTTTTTTCTCTTTTTTGTTTTTTTTCTGCATTGTGTTTTTGATGCCAGTTCGCGCGTGGCTAAGACCGTACATCCCGTTGTTCATAGGCGTGACGTCATGCTTATGGGGCGTGGCGATTCTTGTATACCATCAAATATACGATTAATTAAATTTTGTTTCTATAGTCCCAACATTTTACTTTTTTATATGGGTTTATTGAACTGATTGCTTATTTTCACCTTTTCAACCAAAGATTTTATTTTATACCAACTGTAAAAATAATGTTGAGACCATAGAATGAATGCAACTGTAAATATTATACAAAATGTTTTAAATATTGATATTAAATTCGCTTTAATTTTTAATGAACTTTTTAAGTTCGGAAATTGGTAGAAATACACCAAAGGTGTGCGCGATAGTTTTTTCTAGTCCTTGAAATTTAGTCTAGTCGAAAATATTTGCCAAAGATAATTGATTTTTAAATTATATTTTATTTTAAAATTTTATAAGTTACGGTCGAACTAGTCATTCACCTCGAATTGGTATTAAGGGTAATGTACAAATCATTATTTTGCAATACTTTTACTTATGTGTGTTTTATGCGTCTGAAATCAATCAAATTCGAGTAAGTATTAAAGGGCTGACATTTATTTTATTTCTCTTAAGTTAATTCATTCTTATAAATATTTTATTTGACTCACTAGATTCCCTTAATTTTAAAATATTCCTATAATAAAAATGGCAACTGTTGGTGAAGTCCTCTTTTAAAACTTAGGCCCAGTTTTTTGATTCATAGTTAAAATAACAAATTGTTAAATTTTGCTACTAATGGTTAAATATTAACAAAATGTTAACTAATAGTTAAAAAATGTACTAAAAGTCAAGCTAACCATTGTTCGAAAAACATTTTTTTCTGATATTTAACCACTTGTCATGACATCTGTCAAATTTGACTATTGGTTATTTTAACTACGAATCAAAAAACCGGGCCTTAGAGAAAGAATGTGAGGGTAGTATAATGTTAGACATTCCTTACACAAACTCCACTGTTTTTAAGATTTATTTAAACTTTATTTATTATTAATAATGAATTGTATGTTATCCTTAAAATATTAAATTGACAACACAATGCAGAATTTATTTATTATTTTAGATAGTTTTTAAGTTCTCTATTTAGATCAGATATCGAATCTCAATGAGTTCTGTATCAATAAATTTTAAAACTATGGTTTCTAGCACTGGTCTAATAAACATAAAGTACGATATTTAATTTAAAAAAAAAAACACTTCTAATAAATAGACAAGGCAGCTAGATCAAGCAGTATCAAAATGGCGTGTTCCTTAGTTATTTTGGAGACTCTTGCTTGATCCACAAATTAAAAAAGCTAACCCAAAAATATAAAATAAGCTAACGATGAGACTTCGTTTATTTTGTCTTTTAACAAGTGTCCCGTGACACGTGTCTAATGTCAATTTGTAGTAACAATGACGTAACACGTCAATTTGTAGTAACAGATGACTTTTTTTTTTTATTTTTTTTTTTATTTGTGGCAACCAAACCTCTCTGGGAGGTTTATTTCTGCCAATGTCGAGTGAAAAATATTGACATAGTTATCAATAGAACGTGGGTGTTTCAGTTCTATTGATTTTTCATGGATTCCGTGGAGTTAAGTATGCCCGTAAGCAGGTTTCGAGACGCCACCGGGTCCAAAGCGGGTTGTTCATACGACAACCCACTCGACACTCGATGCGCGCTCAAATTCGAAGTATTTCAATGTTTTTTATAATTTATCACTTCACTGCACTTTAGAACACAAAATAACACCAAATTTGTACACTAAAGTCCATTAAATAATAAATTGAAACCATTAAAACAGATCGATCATGCTTCCCGTTCAACTACCCTCCACGGAATCCCGTAACAGATGACGTAACACGGCAATTTTAGTAACAGATGACGTAACACGACTATTTTTAGTAACAGATGACGTAACAAGGTGTCCGCCGACGTCACACATTCTGTATTTCTTGACTCGACTCGATTGTGCAGAACTCGACAAAATAAGAATCGTATTCTGAAACCACGCTTAAAATTAGACTTAATTTTAAAAAAAGATTAAAATTAAGTGATTCAAGCCTTATTATGATTAAAGCACTTAAAAGATTTGAGTTCCACCTTAAGCTACAACTAATTATTACCTAGTAATTATAATTTATAAAATAATTACGAGTCTCATTATAATGACTTAAAGTGATCAACCAAAAACAGATACACTGATAAAAAGAGCCCATAGTTTTAAAATTTATAACTTTCTTTTCATTTACTGTATTTAAGTTACTATCGACACATTTACTCTGCATTTATGTTTTTTGTCTTGCAGTAAGATATTATGTTGTACTTAACGGTGTAATACTGTGTCGGATGACTTGTACATAATTTATTAAAGTTCTGTTGTAATTATGTTGTTATTATTTATTTAGTTTTATTTTATCTGTGTGTGACTCGACTCCTAGGTGCTTAGTGCGAGTTTACACTTAACGTCATCGCTAGCGACTGCGTAAAAAATGACATGAAATGTATGACAGATTATACTGCGCCCCTAGCGGATACTTTCAGTACTAAAATCTTCATAGATTTAATGACGCGCTTGCTGTCGACGAATTTCAATGCAAACTCGCACGAAGCACTCTGATTTTACATGTTTTATGAATTTTAAACCATACGACCCACCTTTAAGGTTCCAAATGAGTTTAGAACTACATGACCCATTAAAGGTTTGTCATAGAAAATACAAAGTGTAAAAGACAGACAGACTTCTAGTTGAATTATTACTTGACTTTGGTGTTTTTTTCTCAAAAATGACACACATTCATTCATTTGTAATTTGAAACTTAATTCCACACGATTAAAGTCGTAAGTTATGCGCAAGCAGCGAGGCAGGGATCGGCCAAGTCGTCGACGTACTGGAGCGGCAAAGAAGAGAACGGTTCGTTGCAATATAATAGATAATAGAAGTAGATTTATCGTATGTGATTGTGCATTGTTTGTCCTGGCAATGATTGTTGTTATATCTGTGACTAAAGCCCGGTCTCCGAGCACGTAGAATTTTGTCCAATGACACCAAGCTACCCATCCTTATCGCTCGCGCGTAATTATGTTGCTGTCGCGCTCGCACACTCACTGCAGGCGCCCGTCGCACAGTCGCGACAGCAATAGTCATTGGACAAAATTCTACTTGCTCACAGACCGGGCTTTAGCTGTGCCCGCAACTTCGTACGCGTGAAAATAGTTTTAATAATTTTTCCCGTTTTTTTAACTGTTCCGCCCCTATTGGTTGTAGGGTGGTGTTATATTGCCCAAAGCCTTTCTCGATAAATGGTCTATTAGTACAGTCATTTGGTACAAATTACCTGCAGTTTTCAGGTAAAACTACCAAATGACTGGATTATATCCAACATAAGAAGAAATTCGATCAATACTAAATCGCGTGCGTGTCCCCTTTCGAAAAATGATGATCTATCCCAAAGTTTATTTGAAATAATCATCTAAATCGGTTCATTTATATTATTTATTTATTTATTTATTTATTTATTATTATTTATTCAGTGGTTGACGTGTAATTCGACAATATACAGACGGAGTTACTTTCGTATTAGTGCGGATTTGAATTTGATATAACAGCAATCAATGCAAAAACAACTTGAAGGTGTAAGTTTGATTTACTTCCCGTACTTGTGCTGCGTTTTTTTAGTTTTAATTTTAGTTATTTGTACCATTTTATTGTAAATACGAGCAAGTGTCAAGGAAAAATTTATTATTTTAATAAAATAATGCGATATCACTGTTTTGTGGGTTTGCTAATGAAGTGACAGTACTAAAGTGTAAATAAATATGTTATTAAAGTAATCAAAAAAGATGGATCCATGAGATTGCTAATAACTCGTCTTAGTACTTAAATACATTTAATTATATCCGTTGTATGTTCTGCTTACTAAGAAATTTATTTAAAAAAATCCTTAAAAAGAGCGAGCAATAATATTATCAATTGACAGTACTGTCAAATATCTATTCTCTTTTTTTAAATAATTCAGGTTATCATTTTCACTTCCAAACTCGTCTGGCCAGCGTGTTTATTGCAGGCTAAATCTCGCATTTGCCTCTGTTGAATGAGAGAGGTCCGTGCTCTTACAATGGAGTCCAAATAACCTGATGACGATGATGATTCTCATGACATTAAATGAGCTGTGTAAACTGCGTTTTGTGATTAATATCTCTCGTTAAATGACGGACAGTATCGTGTGCTTAATTATAATTTAGAAACTTTTTAATAAAACCCCAAAACACTGATGTTCGCCACCAATCAGGCAAAATTATATTCCGCTTCGCTTTTGCTTGCGCTTGTTGCGGTGGCGTGGATACGGAATCGGCCACTCGTCTTCCGATCGCCGCGACTGTGTGATCCTGTACATCCTTGAAGATATTCCTTAAAACGTCCACATAACACCACATAACGCTAAGCGACATGGTTTTCGTTAACACTTGTTTGTATCACATAGGTTTGTTTCTTGCGGTTCGCGAGCGTCTGATTTTGACGGTAGAGGGAGCCACTTTTGTGGTTTGACGTGGCAAAGATAAGCTGTGTACAGTGGGTACAATTTTTCAATGGGGATGTTGCCTGGGTCAAAAAGCAAGAGTTTTAATTAGTCCGTCAGTTAACTTATCAAAAAATACTCTACACGTATTTTTCACTTTTTCAAACTAATGAAAATTTAAAGAGATAAAGCGCCCCAAAGTTCATAAGAAGAGGCCCGTGACGTCAACGCTTGCTTAAAAATGCCGCACGTTGTGACGTCGTGCGCAACTTCAACGCACCATAACTATTTAATATTTTGTTAGATTGACAAATAAAAATATACGTGTCCAATATTTTTTGATATTAAACATTACGGACAAAAAAAATTTTTTTAGGCAACTAGCCTATTGCTGGGGGTAAGGAGTACAATGCCGCGAGACTTGTTTTGTTATGAAACAAATAGTTACGTATTTTGTTTTCACGAGTTGGCGCCACAGGCGAGTAAAGTCATTTACTAACTAGCCGCTAAAATACTGGCGCCTAAACTGGTGATATACGCAAATACGGTATCCTTCAGTGCACTTTCGATTTTGAGTATAATTATGGTGGCGCTCGTAGATTGTAAGAAATATTTTGACTAATACAGTTTAATGTAATCAATTTTATATCAATTTCGTTTTCCTTTAGACGTGAGTCAACATCCATGCAAATACAAACGATTATTCCATAACACTATTTCTTTTATTGTTAGTAATTAAAATGTTTAAATATTTCAAATCAAAATAGAGGTAATTTTAAATACACAAGCCAAATGATTATTGATTTTCACAAAATATTATTCGTATCCATCTCCTTATAAAGGACGCTTTTATTTTCTGTATACTTATTTACAATATTCTGGTATTTATACATTGCAATAGTATTTATCACATAACCAGTGTGTATGTTGGCTCAAGGCGCGGGGCATAGTAAGTCGTCTTGTGTAAGGATGCGCGTACGCTGGGTATAGGACGACATAGCAAATAAAGCCCTAACTCGGTGGACATAAGGTGTATATTTCAACGAGTCGACAAATTGCACACGAAAATCAATATATCATCTCAATTCTGTGAAATATGCACTGTATTCCCACGTTTCCTAAAACTATATTCGTATGATGCGACTTACCTCAGCTCACGTGCAACCTAATGGCGTAGTTACACTATTCGCGAAATTGATCGAATCAGATAGTGTAAACGCGAAGTTCAGTTCGTTTCGCCATTGATCACTTTCGCGCCTGTGTAATTGCGTTTAAGTCCATTGTGCATGTCATATTCCCGGTTTTTTTCTTGACTAAACTGTGCTTTATGTGCAGTCGGGTGCAAAAGTGCTAAAAATTAAAAAATAAACTAAATATATTTTTATTTTGTTGGTATCAAAGCGCTTTTTCATTTGACTAAATTGTAATGTGTATTCACTTCCACGATTTGTATTTGTATCATCGTTTTGTGACGTTTGGTTTCGGTTGGGATTGGTTTATGTTCCTTTTTATCCAATACACATATTAATGCACACATTCAAAACATACATTTATTCACCAGTGTACCGTACCTCATATTTTGTAAAAGTCTGAATAATAACCCTCTTCTGGCACAGTCGGATAAAAATACAGAGCCAATTTCTCAAAAGCTCAAAAATAGGGCGAATTTTTAATAATATAATTTTGTGTATCTAAACCCTATATTTTAAAGAATAACTTCTATTAGGTACAAAATTACAAATTAAAGAAAACAACATAGTTTTTAAGTTCCACTGATGAACTAAAACACAGCTTCTAGAGACCGCTATTGAGATCTAAAAACTGTTATCCGCGAAAAGAACATTTTTTTTTTACAAAAATATAAGTAATCACTTTAGTTCTTGTGCTTGTGGTATGGTACACCTCACTCATTTACTCACACAACCAAAACTCACACATAATCTTTCAATATCTAATCTATCTTTATTCGTTTCAGTCTTGGACCGGCCCCCTTCACAAATGAGCTATCTGGATCAGTTTTTGAAAGAAGCACCCACGGAAAGGCATTACGACAATGTGCCCTCTATCAACAACGAGCAGAAGGTTGGTTTTGCTTTGGCAAGTTTTTTATTTACTGTGAATAACGCTTGTATTGGATCGGAATTTCAATGGATAGAGTGAAAGGGCCTTAATGTCAAGCTGTTAAAGTCTAAAATTGTTTGAAATGTATTTGACATCCATTGAAGTTTCGATACAATGCAATAAATCATCTACACGTATAATTCATATTAATTGTTTTACATATCACCGAAATAATTTGTGACTAATTCTAGGTGACTGCTTTTATTTACCTTTACTTGGCAAAGACTAAAACCTCATTATTAAAATCTAATTTAATCCAAAATGATAACAATTTGAAATTTTGTAAATTCAAACCTTAACACTTTGTAGTAAGGGGGGCTACTCCGAAACGCTGTTTACATAGTTTCGGTCATATCTGTCACCGTCGCTCATGCTGGCATCTCGCTTTGTGTGAGAAGGATGGCAACATTCGAAACTTCGGATAACGTTTTTCGGAGTAGTCCCAAAGTTTCACAATCTATAGTATATTCCTCGGTCTTTGCTAATACCCATCATGCTTATGTTTTGTGTTGCAATTTTAGTTTCGTTTATTCCCGCACAGATGTCGCCGCAGTACCGTTACAGAAATAACCAGTACTGTTGTAACTCAAAGGTATTTTTGTGTTTTTATTTTTTGCATTTTTGTTTCATATTTGTGGTGTTTGTATTTTATTTCATGCTTTATTAATGCTTCTTTTTAACTATAGAATACGTCAGTCTCGTTTAAACGATATTTATTGGAACTAGGCGAGTATTTAATAACAGATCATAGTACTAAATTGGAGCAAAGATGATTGAACAGGGTTGATCATTACATTACAATTATTGCTATGCTTACACACATCTCACTTAAAATTTTTGTTACTTTACTTAAAAAAGGCATGTTATGTGCGGTGGTGTCTACCACAACCAAACTCAATATCCTCTTTGAATTATTATTTTATGTATTTGGAAATAATCCAACATCCTTATTCTGCATTTTCCCCTTTCCAAACTAATTTCGTAATTTGAACTAACATAATCGTGTGTTCGACAACGGAATGGTGTTATTAAATCTTTTTTTTTAAATACATTTTCCGTTTAAAAAATACATTATCCCTTATAAAGAGGTATTAACACTCAAACTGTTTCCAGGTGATGTACGGATCTCAGCAGTCGGCAGTGTTGAGTGGGTCGATAGACTCGCAAGACTCGATAGAACCACGCGCCGCGTCACCCGCGTCGAGCAAGAGTTCGCCTAGTGAAATGTCTACGGTATGTTAATTCATGTTATCTATGTGCTTACTGATGAATAGGAATGGATTGTATTTATTTGTTTCAAAGAAGTTGCAGTACTCAACGTCTGAGGTATGGGAGCGGACCGGGAGGGTGTTTTTTCAATAGAATAGAATATAATTTATTGCTTTTTCTGTGTGCAGATAGTGTTTTGTGACGGTCAAACGTCAGCGAGACTTCATATTTGCATGTCCTGTCACGTCATAATATTATGTCAATGTCACCCCTCCCGTGCCGCTTTTCATACCTCGGGCACTGACTGAGTTAAAGGCTAGACCTATAGTAGGTATAATGAGTTTTACAGTTTGACGTACTGGATATACAGTGTGAGTCACGTTAAAGTGTACATATGAAAATAGATGAAAGTAGACCTATTTTTATCGACAAAAAAGAGGTCAAAAAATTTTTGAGATTTTTTTTTAAATTTTTATAGAATTTTTTTTCTTCCAATTACTTATTGTAAAGAAAACGTAATAACTTTTAAACTAAGCGGTATATCCTGATAAAATAAAAACAGTAATAATGCTAAATAACAGGCAATACTAAAAACATACATAAAATACATAAAAAAGGCCAACAAATAATAAAAAATTAAACTTTTTGAAAAAAATTTGCTTTTAAATTCGTGTTTTTTGGTTATTTGATAAATTTCTCCAAAAAATGCCCCTATAACCGGTGGTTTTTATTGCTTTGTATTATTCTCTATCGTATTACCTTCGTAAAACCAAAAATCGCATACCTCTATCCCTATTACAACATTTGCTATGATCGTTTGAACAAAGGCCTGCCACAACATTTTTCTCCGCTACAGTTAGAGACAATTTTAATTTTAACTAAAATGCTTATTTTACTTTGAAATCTTTTGTTTTTATTTGAAATCTAACTTGTCTTTATCAAAATAACAAATCTAGAGCCATTTTCAGTTTCGTTGTTAACGAAGCGTTGAATGGCGCGCCCGGAGAGGCTTAGTTCAAACGATCATTGCAAACGTTGTGATAGGGATAGAGACATGCGATTTTTGGTTTTACGAAGGTAATACGATAGAGAATAATACAAAGCAATAAAAACCACCGGTTATAGGGGCATTTTTTGGAGAAATTTATCAAATAACCAAAAAACACGAATTTAAAAGCAAATTTTTTTCAAAAAGTTTAATTTTTTATTATTTGTTGGCCTTTTTTATGTATTTTATGTATGTTTTTAGTATTGCCTGTTATTTAGCATTATCACTGTTTTTATTTTATCAGGATATACCGCTTAGTTTAAAAGTTATTACGTTTTCTTTACAATAAGTAATTGGAAGAAAAAAAATTCTATAAAAAATTAAAAAAAAATCTCAAAAATTTTTTGACCTCTTTTTTGTCGATAAAAATAGGTCTAATTTCATCTATTTTCATATGTACACTTTAACGTGACTCACACTGTATTTCTACAGTCGTAGTCATAAGAAGACTGGTGGCTGGTGGTCAGTGTGGACAGACTTAAGGTCTTCAGCTACTCTTAAACTTACCACGACGCATGGGACTGGCGATTAAGTTCTATAGTTCGATCCCCATCGACAGCTGGAATATTGTAGTGAACTCACTTTTAAAACGAACGTAATAAATTATCAATTTTATCATAATTGAAGATAAAAGGGAATGAAATAGAATTTAAAAATCTTTATTTCTTTTTGTTTGCAGGACCCGTCAATAGGTCCCGCGGTGCCAGGCAAGCAGAAAGTCCACCAGTTCCTCGTCAGAACGTTCAGCAGTCCCACCAAATGTAACCACTGTACTTCTCTCATGGTGAGTTAAGTATCTTTTTCTATAAATAAGCTGCTACTGTGATGTTTACGGGTACTATATTTTGAATTTTTATGATGTCAGGTTGTAGTTGACCTTTTAGCAATCGTGGTAAGTCATATGTCATGGTTTCGTAGAAGAAAAATACAAATATTTTTATTTAATCTTAATTTCAGGAGAAAACAAGGACAAATAGGTTGTATGTATCAGATATTAGTGTGTTGATTTCTCGTGTGTTATCCAATCATGTTCAATTTCGATTTACTTGTGAAATCATATTCATTTACTAACAAATATCCTTAGTGTGATTTCTAATTGATGTTACAATACCAGCCGATTTAAACTGTTTTTGATTTATATTTGTCTCTTTTCAATACAAATACAGCGAATTTGTGTGTTTTTTTGTTTATGTAATAATCGTTTTCTACATTTGTCCCACGACACCGGCAATTATCAGAATCGATTTGTGAACGAAATATTTTGTGTTTGTGTTTTTATAACAGCCTTGGTGTTGATGAAAGGTGTTAAATGAATTTTATATGAACCACTGTTGGAAATAGTCATTCATTCTGCATTACGTCGGAGTTTTTGTGAACTAGAGTGACAGATATGCATTACTTCTGTCACTTGTCAGCACCAGCCGATATGTACTCCCAAAAGGGTGTTAAACAAGCTATATTCGGTACGTATGTTAGTGCTCCAAGGGCCTGCGTATAAATCATTTGAATTTCCCTTCCAGATCGGCCTAACCCGTCAAGGCGTGGTATGCGAGACGTGCGGCCTAGCGGTCCACACGCGGTGCTGTGCGCGAGTTGCGGCGCGTTGTCCGCTACCGCCTGAGCGATCGCGGCGCCCGCTGGGGATCGACCCCGCTCGTGGACAGGGCACTGCCTACGAGGGATACGTCAAGGTACGCAATGACGTATAGGCTATAGTATACAATGACGTATAGGCTATAGTACACATTGACGTATAGGTAACAATGCACAGTATCCGCTAGTTATTGAGCTGCCTGTGGCCAAAGCACGGCCTACGAGGGCTACGTCAACGTACGGCAAAGGTGACGTATACGTCATCGTGTACAATGACGTATAGGCTACAGTGCACAATGATTATAGGCTATCTATTCACTTCATTATACTGCTATCTTTGTTCCAGGTACCCAAACCGGGCGGGGTGAAGAAAGGTTGGATGCGACAGTTTGTGGTGGTGTGCGATTTCAAGTTGTTCCTCTACGATATTTCACAAGACAGGTATGAATTGAATTATTTTTTTTGTTATTTTAGTTTTTTTTATCCTCACAGTGTTTCATAGAGTTCTAAGTATGAGAAAGGAATTATACAAATGCCTAGTCAAAGTGTATCAAAAGGATTGATGAAATATTGGGCCCAGATTATGATACTAACAGTAAAATGTTTTGCAGAATGTGGGGTATTTTTGTTAGCAAAAAAATGCATGTTTGATGTTGCCACGCCACTTTCCGCTAGCAAATACCAAATTACTATTAACCCTCTTCAGCAAACACCAAAAGCCTAAGCTCTTTATGGCCGCTTCTTGCGATATTTAGTTAATAAACCCTATTCTTAATCTCTATTTCATTCATACTTTCTAAGTAACTTTACATAAAGGTTTCGCTAGTAGAGTAGGATGATTAATATTACATGAGTATGTTTGATATCACTGAGTCAGTATCTGTTTCACTTTTTTATTTAAAATTCACGTCCACCAGTTGGCGTCATGGCGAGTAAAGTTCTGTGACTCATTAGTGGCGCCAACTGATGTCTCTCATTTATTTCATGTACAGTCAACTTCAAATAGTTCGTAACACCCAAAGTAGCCAAAAAGCCCACAACACGTCTTTGTTACAATTGGATTAAGGTTGTGTTTTCAACTTCTTGACTACTTTGGGTGTCACCAACTATTTGACGCGGACTGTACCAAATTCTAATAGTGCGGACTATATTATGGACACTGTTGCTTGAATTTTTATATTTATATCCTTTCACCTTCTCTTTTGTGCTTCAATGCTTTGATGGAGATCGATTATTGCATAAAATCAGAGAATGCCTTGTTGCAGCTATTTAAAAAACAGGTTGTGGGATAAACTTAGAAGAAAACTTTTTCTCAATAGGTCTTACATTGGAAGACACCAACGGTAAACGTCGTCGTATACTGCTAGTTAGATAACCACGTTAATAACTATTATACTCATGTTGCCAGAATTCAAGAGCCAGACAACTCACGAAAAAAGTATAGAAGCAAACCATAGTTTTACTGTTAGTACTGTTCATTATTGTAATAAACCAATTTGTAAAATTAAATTGTAACTCTAACCCCCAGTTTCTGGTTAGAGATTTTTAGCTTGAGCGCGCCTATTTTATACATAAGCCTATTTTTGTAGGCTTAAATTCATACTTAAGCAGAAAATGAGTACGCTCATGTTAAAAATGACCATTCAGAAACTGGAGGTAAAAATTGTCATTTTCCTACTGATATGTTCATTATTCGAGCTACTCCATACTCATAAGTACTTAGTTTATTTTCAAAGTGCTATTTTGTATGAATTTGTGATATAAACATTTATCAACTTGTAAATTGTGTACGTTTTTGCTTCTATACTATTTTCGTCGTTGTTATCAAACGTTCTTACCATTTATTAACATACCTTTACCTTCCCAGGAACGCCTTACCGTCAGTGTGCGTCAGTCAAGTGCTAGACATGCGAGACCCAGAGTTCAGTGTGACGTCAGTCAAGGAGTCTGACGTCATACACGCCAGCAAGAGGGATATACCGTGTATATTTAGGGTAAGTGTAAAATAAAGTTTGTTTTAAAATGTCAGTAAGTCTGAGACTAAAAAAATTCTGATTTGTGTCTACTTAAAGTGATGCCTCCCTGAAGGACGATTTGAGGACTTTGTTTACAATATAAAGTTTGTGTACCAGAGAAAACCTGGTACACAATGACTTGCTATAATTTTTTGCATCCTTATTATAATCAACTTGCTTTTTTATCATTTGTTTCTTCGAATTTTCTGATTTTACCAACGTCACTGCGAACCAAGTATATTTGTGCATCTTATTGTTTAACAATGCATTATTAGGTGACACTTCTTGACCATAATACAATCAAGCATTGATTTCCTAGCTGCTATACATACAAGTATTTTGAAACATAAGTATATTTTTGTCCACAGATATCAACGTCACAACTAGAAGGAGGGAAGCGATCTCATACATTAATGTTAGCGGAATCCGAGTCTGAGAAGACGAAGTGGGTGGTCGCCCTTAGCGAATTACATAGGATATTGAAAAGAAACAATTTGCCAGACAAATGTGTAAGTAACTTTTGTAACTAGTATTTTTTTCCAAATATTCATATCAGTTTTGTACGAGATTTTGTGGATTCATTAAAATGGTTTTGCATAGCTCACAGAACCTTTAAAAACAGGTGTATTTATTTTAATATTATAATTATTCTGTCAAAGTTCACGATTCCAATGGCGCCAACTTGTTAACACCAATATTATTTGAGTGCTATTGGCAATATAAACAATATATTGGCAATATTTACTATTGCATACACACAAAACATAACAAATATCTTCATTTCATTTCGTATTGAATCTGTTCTGAATTTGGTTGTATAGTTCTGAGGTTCCTTGGCAGGTGCACTTCGCATGCGTTAGTGTACTAATATGTCATAGGTACAGCAAGCGATTGTGTAACAGATGTGTACAGAAAATGAATGCTGTACGAGAGGGAACCGTAAGATACCCTACGGTACTTGATACTATGATAAACTCCATGGCACACGTTCAGAAAAGTTGTGCTAAGCTTGGGACAATTAATTAATACACTCCGATTTGACTGAAAGTACAAAAAAATGTCTGTTTCCGGTTAAAAAAGGTTGAAATAATAATGAAGCGACGTAGCGTATCTTAGGGCTCCTGCACACGACGCCGCCACACTGTTCATACGAGTCGAGCAAAGCCGCCGCCGCACCATCAAAGCATAATAAAGCGGCGTCGTGTGCAGGTGTTCTAGACAAAGTGCAAATTATAATCGCAAACCAGTCGAAAAGTGGTCGAAAAGCCCCTTTTTTGTATGGAGTTTTGACGGATTCGATTTTCGATTCGATCAAAAAGTGCGTTTTGTCTAGGGGGGCAGGAGTGCTTACGGTCTCGTACTACAACCGTAGCCGTAGCGTCCACACTGTAATATAATGGCAATAATATCTTTCGTTTATTATCGTGATGGGTTTGACTTTGTCCCGAATCCGTGTGTATATTCCGCGGTTTCTTAACAGGTGTACAGCGCATGCGTCCTAGTCGACGGCGCAGGCGCCGCGGCGACTGCACTTTTGTCTATAGTCGTGATAGGTTTGACTTTGTCCCGAATCCGTGTGTATATTCCGGGTTCTTTCCAGGTGTACAGCGCTTGCGTTTTGGTCGACGGCGCGAGCGCCGCGGCGACTGCACCTTTTTCTGTAGTCGTGATAGGTTTGACTTTGTCCCGAATCCGTGTGTATATTTCGGGTTCTTTCCAGGTGTACAGCGCATGCGTATTCGTCGACGGCGCAGGCGCCGCGGCGTCTGCACTTTTGTCTATAGTCGTGATAGGTTTGACTTTGTCCCGAATCCGTGTGTATATTCCGCGGTTTCTTAACAGGTGTACAGCGCTTGCGTTCTGGTCAACGGCGCGGGGGCCGCGGCGTCTGCACTTTTGTCTATAGTCGTGATAGGTTTGACTTTGTCCCGAATCCGTGTGTATATTCTGCGGTTTCTTAACAGGTGTACAGCGCTTGCGCGACTGCACTTTTGTCTATAATCGTGATAGGTTTGACTTTTTCCCGAATCCGTGTGTATATTCCGCGGTTTCTTAGCAGGTGTACAGCGCTTGCGTTTTGGTCGACGGCGCGGGCGCCGCGGCGACTGCACTTTTGTCTATAGTTGTGATAGGTTTGGGAGCATTCAAGTATTACGTAACGCAATTTGGGGGGGAGGGGGGTCTCGTAAAACGTTATGATGCGTTACAGGGGCGGGAGGGGGTCTTTCTTACAAGACGTTACGTAACATTGTTTCTTTTATTTAATAAAAATTTAGGGAATGAAAACTCCCAAATTGGCAACCGTTTACGTTTTACGGGGAATCCTTCGATTGTATTATAGTCTGGTCGACATTTTTCATTTATTCTCGCAAGTTGGCAAACCTTTTTGTTTATACACTCGACATCAAATAAATCGTACCTCCCGCGACAAGCATTTTCATAAGTATGTATCCCCACTTCTCACCAATATTGGCACCATTTAAAAGCATAGTTCTAAACTTAATTTCATTAAAGGAAAGGTTTTTGCCCCAAAAATGTGTCTTTAGAAGGATCCAGAGTCACTTCTTCAAAAAATAGGTAGTTACGCTTGAGCCAACTTTTCATCATCATCATCATGTCAGCCATAGGACGTCCACTGCTGAACATAGGCCTCCCCTAATGCTTTCCACATTGATCGATTGGTAGCGGCCTGCATCCAGCGCTTCCCTGCTACCTTCACGATGTCGTCGGTCCACCTTGTAGGTGGACGTCCCACGCTGCGCCTTCCGGTACGCGGCCTCCATTCCAGAACCTTGCTGCCCCATCGGCCGTCAGTTCTGCGCACTATGTGCCCTGCCCGTTGCCACTTCAGCTTGCTAATCTGTCGAGCCAACTTTTATTGCTATAAAACTGTTAAGTTGGGATTAATCGCTATCCATCTGTTAAATGGTCACTTGAGTGTTACGTAACGTTTAGGGAGGAGGAGGGGGGGTACAGAAAAACGTTACGGTGCGTTACAAGAGGGGGATGAGGGGTCTAAAATCTTCAAAAATTGCGTTACGTAAAACTTGAATGCTCCCTTTGACTTTGTCCCGAATCCGTGTGTATATTTCGGGTCCTTTCCAGGTGTACAGCGCATGCGTCTTAGTAGACGGCGCGGGCGCCGCGGCGACTGCACTCCGCGGCGCGCTGTGCGCGTGCGTGCTGGAAGGCGGCCGCGTGTGCGTGGGCGGCGACGGCGGCCTGGCGCTGCTGGACCTGGAGCGCGCCGAGCTCACGCCGCGCCGGCAGCACGCGCCCGTGGCCAAGCTGCTGCACGTGCCCGCCGAGCAGCTGCTGGGTGAGTCAGCAGGGCCTGCACTGTGCGCCGCGCTGTGCGTGCGCGGCGACGGCGGCCTGGCGCTGCTGGACCTGGAGCGAGTTATCATCAGGTCATTTAGTCTACAATGCAGGAACTGCAGACAGGAGAAATAGATACTTTCATCAAAGACAGAAACACTACCCTTCAGTTTGCCAAATGCTCCAGATGTGGCGTACTCACGCTGGCCTGTGCCCGCCGAGCAGCTGCTGGGTGAGTCACCGGCAGGGGCCTGCACTGTGCGCCGCGCTGTGCGTGCGTGGGCGGCGACGGCGGCCTGGCGCTGCTGGGTGAGTGTCGCTGGTGACGGGACCTGGAGTGAGGCTGATTTCACAGCTGTCCGGGAAACCCGTACGGGCTGTTACTACGGGCTCCCGGAACAGGGGCACACATGAGGAGCTAGAACATCATTTCACAGCGACGCGGATTAGTGCGCACGCGACCCGCTCCAGGTAGTCCCGTACAAAGCAATCGTATCGTACTCGTAACCCACGTTTCAGAGCATCCGCTCAACGAATGGGGGGTGTCTTTCATCATCAGGTCATTCAGTCTCCATGTAGTCTCAGTAGGAACATGACCATCTTCAATTTTACCAGCGGCAAATAGATAGCCCGCTAGGCGGCTCCTAGGAAACTGAAACTGCAAGAACAGCAGGCAGGAGAAACATAATGGAGATTCACGAGATCTTCAGTAATGAAGCAAACGATGCTAACATCCACTGCGCGACCCTCTCCCAATTTACTAGAATGAAATGAATTTGGCGTAAGTTTTCCCATGCTGGCCTGATGCTCGCGCGTTTATCCCTTTCGTTTCTTATGACATCCACGGAGAGAGTTGAGATGGTTCTATAGCTATTAGACCTTATGTAAATTAACAACTACGGGTCTAATCTCCCTTTCGCTCCAACCACTGCAATTCCTTTATAGTCAAGATTTGTAGCATTCTAAGGCCCAGAACAGACGGTGAAACGCAACTGCAACGAAACGACAACAGTTTGAAACTTTCAAACTGGTCGCGTCATGTGTGGTCTCTCAACGGATGCTATGGCAGAAACTTAGATGCAACTCAAAAGTAACTAACAGTTGCAGTTTCGTTGTAGTTGCGTTTCACCGTCTGTTCTGGGCCTAAGACTCGTATGAGTTGTCTTTTATATGCTTTATCATCAACCACGATTGTTTGCATACTTGCTCATCAATTTTCAACCCTATTGCAGTGGTGATAGCGGGCCGAGGCCGGCACGTGCGTCTGGTCCCGATTCGGGCGCTGGAATGCAGCGAAGTGGAGTGCGTGAAGCTGGCTGAGACCAAAGGCGCGGTCGACATCGCTGCAGGAGACTTGCACGCTCACGCTAAAGGCTTCGCTGTGGTCTGCAAGCGACAGGTATGTTCATTCGTTCAACGTTCACTCATTCGTTCTGGAATGCGTGAAGCTGGCTGAGACCAAAGGCGCGGTCGACATCGCTGCAGGAGACTTGCACGCTCACGCTAAAGGCTTCGCTGTGGTCTGCAAGCGACAGGTATGTTCATTCATTCAACATTCACTCACTCATTCATCACACATCATCGATGTGAGAGAGTTCCGGATGCATGCCAAAGGCTTCACCATACCACACCAGACCACAGGTTTGCAAGCGACAGATATGTTCATTCATTCATTCAACATTCACTCACTTATTCATCACACATCATCGTCATCTTAGTATCAAGTGATGTAGGGTATGTTATGGTTCCCTTTCGCACTAAAGCTTACGCAAGGTAATTGTCTTTGTATTCATATCTTGATATGAATACGAAGACAATTTCCTATCATCAATATCGGTCAATTTTAGATATAATTCATTTCAGGAGGAATACGAAAATTGATTTGGTACTTTTATTGTTAAATTTATGTCAACTGTCATTTCTTTTTTTCATAACATTGTGACATGCTTTGCGCTTGTAACGTACGAGATTCTCATCGAGAAAGAAGAACGGTCATCTGTGACCCAGGCCCGACAGAAACGAGACATACCTCAGTTTTTTTGTCATGTCTTAATTAGTTAAATTATATGTTTTTTATATTCGAAATCTATGTATAACACCAATATATTACCCTTTGTTTTTGTTCAGGCGTTATACAAAAACTAATACAAAATGCCTATTTATCACCAAAATTGGTAAATGTATGTACCTAAATGTCTATTACAGCTGCTATGGAATGTATCTAGGTGACCTGGAGATACAGCCGGATTATACAGGGTGGAAACGAGAAGTTACAAAATCCAAAAATTCAGTGTTACCAGCTTCCATAATCTGTAACCTATTATTGGTACCATTTGAAAAAGCTCGTGAAGCACTTTCAGAATCAGTAACTAGTTTTTCGATATCTTGTATAGTTTAGAAATAATCGAGTGAGATCACTTATCGTTTCATATGTATAACCACCCTGTATAGTCCGGCTGTATCTCCAGGTCACCTAGATACATTCCATAGCAGCTGTAATAGACATTTAGGTACATACATTTACCAATTTTGGTGATAAATAGGCATTTTGTATTAGTTTTTGTATAACGCCTGAACAAAAACAAAGGGTAATATTTTGGTGTTATACATAGATTTCAAATATAAAAAATATATCATTTAACTAATTAAGACATGACAAAAAAACTGAGGTATGTCTCGTTTCTGTCGGGCCTGGGTTTTTTTTGTATGGGGCGTGACCGTTCTTCTTTGAATTTGCTTTCGCTTTCGTGTTCGCACATTCGTGAGACATTCGGGCGAGACTTTAACGAGAGTGTACAGTCGGCATTAAAAAAACATTTGTCTGTCTTCCAGAACACGTACGTAGTGAACGTGTACGAGATAACGCGCACGGCTGCACGCCGCTGCCGCGTGGCCGAGCTCCGCGCGCCCGGCGCCGTGCTCAGCGTGCAGCTGGCGCGCGGCCGCCTGCTGCTGGGCTACCGCGGCGGCTTCGCGCAGCACCAGCTGCCCGACCCGCGCCGCGCCCAGCCCGACCAGCCCGCCGTCTGTGAGTGTCTCACGAGCTGTAGCACAGCACAGCGCGGCCGCCTGCTGCTGGGGTACCCAAGCCGACCAGCCTGCCGTCTGTGAGTTGGAAAATAACGCGTATTACAACAGCAGAAGATGGCAAAATAACTGGCCCAAAGTCCAAGGCCCAGTCGACCACCGTATATGAGTGTGCATTGCAAAATAACACCTGTTACAAGTGCAAAAGATGCCAAAATGACCCGCGTCGGACTGCAGTCGACCACCCCGCCGTCTGTGAGTAGTAAAATATCGCTTTTTACAACTGCAAAATATGCCCAAATGGTTGACTTCAGGTGCTATTTCAATGCCAATTTAGCGAGGAAAGTCATATCAGCCAATGACGAGATTTTTTACGCTGAATTCGTATTACAAGCCATCATTCGTTTCTAGCCATCACAAAAATCAGAAAAAAATTGGGCAGATAACTTAATTCTTTACTAGAAACTGGTAAAAATTACATTTAAGTTCACCATTGTGTTTAAGAATTACATTCATTTAAACGCGACCAATCTAAATATGAGTTTCAACTTAACAGCGTTCACGAGATACCGCCTCTGACGAATAAATTATGTGTTTCACCAGTGGCGCCAACTCGTGAATATCAATATTATATTCCTCTCCCTTCCGCCTTTTGTTGCCTTCGCCCGTACATCAATATATTCAGACACATTTTTTGACTGACTGACGTATTTAATTTGTCGTTTCACCTCTATTGATTGTTATAGTCAACTACCAAGCTCTTATATTGTTCAACACAGAGCTGTATTATCACGACTGACTTTAATCAAAACGATGTTTCTGTTCACAGCTCTAGTCCACCCCGAGAACCAAGTGAACATGTTCTTATCTCACTCCGGCGCGCGGCCATTAGCCTGCGCTCCCGTGCCTCGCTCGTCCGACACGCTACTCGTGTTCAGTTCCCTGGCACTGTACGTGGACCGCGCCGGACATCGGGCGAGGGACACGGAGTTAATGTATACGCAGCACCCGGCCTACCATGGTGAGTGAGCACTACGTAGTTAAGAGCTACACGCTTCTGCGAGCTAGATAGTAGATATTACTGCGAGCTACACGCTCCTGCGAGCTAGATAGTAGATATTACTGCGAGCTACACGCTCCTGCGAGCTACACGCTCCTGCGAGCTACACGCTCCTGCGAGCTACACGCTCCTGCGAGCTACACGCTCGTTACGCGCTCTGACACTGAGCTACACGCAAGGTCGCTGCGAGCTACCTACTCGCTCTTCCGACACGCTACTCGTGTTCAGTTCCCTGGCGTTATACGTGGACCGCGCTGGACATCGGGCGAGGGACACGGAGTTAATGTATACGCAGCATCCGGCTTATCATGGTGAGCGAGTTAGACACTACGTAACTAAGAGCTACACGCTTCTACGAGCTAGATAGTAGATATTACTGCGAGCTATATGCTCCTGTGAGCTAGATATGCCTGTGAGCTACACGCTCCTGCGAGTTACATTCTTCGGCGCTGTGAGCTACACGCTCGAGCTACTTACTCCTTCGATATGCTACTCGTGTTCAGTTCCTACCATGGTGAGTGCCACTACGTAGCTGCGAGCTACATGCTCTTGTGAGCTACATGCTCCTGAGAGCAACATGCTCCGTCGAGCTACATGCTCTTGTGAGCTACATGCTCCTGCGAGTAACATGTTCTTATCTCACTCCGGCGCGCGACCACTCGCCTGCGCTCCCGTGCCTCGCTCGTCCGACACGCTACTCGTGTATAGTTCCCTGGCATTGTACGTGGACCGCGCCGGACATCGGGCGAGGGACACCGAGCTCATGTATACACAGCATCCGGCCTACCATGGTGAGTGACTACGCTGTGAGCTAGCAGCGAGCTACACGCTCCGGCGCTGCGAGCTACGCGCTCTGACACTGAGCTACACGCAAGGTCGCTGCGAGCTACACGCTCTGTCGCTGCGAGCTACCTACTCGCTCTTCCAACACGCTACTTGTGTTCGGTTCACTGGCGTTAGACATCGGACCGCGCGCGACATCTAGCAAGGGACACCGAACTAATGTGTACGCAGCACCCAGCATACCATGGTGAGTGAGTTAGCTCTTCGTCGCTGCGAGCTAGATATTCCTGCGAGCTACACGCTCCCGCGAGCTACACGCTCCTGCGAGCTACAAACTCCGGCGCGCGGCCGCTGGCCTGCGCTCCCGTGCCTCGGTCGTCCGACACGCTTCTCGTGTTCAGTTCCTTGGCACTATACGTGGACCGCGCCGGACATCGGGCGAGGGACACCGAGCTCATGTATACGCAGCACCCGGCATATCATGGTGAGTGAGCTATACACTACGTAGCTGAGAGCTACACGCTCCTGCGAGCTACATGCTCCTTCGAGCTAGATATTCCTGCGAGCTACATGCTCCCGCGAGCTACATGCTCTTGTGAGCTACACGCTCCTGCGAGCTACACGCTCCTGCGAGCTACACACTCCTGCGAGCTACATGCTCCCGCGAGCTACATGCTCCCGTTATGCTAGTTTGCGCTCCAGTTCCTCGGTCGTCCGACACGCTACTCGTGTTTAGTTACCTGGCGTTATACGTAGACCGCGCTGGACATCGGGCAAGCGACACCGAGCTAATGTATACGCTGCACCCGGCATATCATGGTGAGTAACTGCGCTGTGAGCTAGCGAGTGAGCAAGTGAGTAACTGTGACTGTTGCTGCGAGCCACACGCTCTGTCGCTGCGAGCTACCTACTCGCTCTTCCAACACGCTACTTGTGTTCGGTTCACTGGCGTTAGACATCGGACCGCGAGCGACATCTAGCAAGGGACACCGAGCTAATGTGTACGCAGCACCCGGCATACCATGGTGAGTGAGCTATATGATGCTCTGAGCTAGTGGCTGCGAGCTACACGCTCTGTGAGCTGCGAGTTACCTACTTGCTCGTCACACATTGCTTCGGAAACTGAGTCTGAGACGAAACTTTTTTTTTTTTACTGAGTTCGCGTATCAACAAGTTTAATCGATGTCAAGGAGGATTCTCATGTGAAGCAAGAATATAATTAATTTATTTCTAATCAGCGTAAGCGTTAATAATAAATAACATCGTTGCTTAAACTTTGACGTCGACGACTATTAAAACTACGATGCTGCTCTTAGAACACGACATTCACGTAGTTCAACGAGTCTTTGAACATTGTTTTATGCAAGAACCTTTTATTAAATAAACGTTTTTTCCTTTACAGCTATAAACGAAACGCACCTGCTGATCTTCACGACGACGCATATCGATATCTACGACATCGAGTCGGGAGAGTGGGTGCAGACCATCAATATACGTGAGTTTTATTATTATTTTGTTTTTATAGTGTTAAACGAACCAGTTGGCGCCGCTGACGAGTATTGTCCTGCCACTCGTTAGTGGCGCCAGTAGTAAACAATGTTAAGTTAACCCGCATTTTACATTGTAAAATAAAAAATATATATAAAAAAAAAAGTTATGTAAAATTAAAATAAAAAACTTATTTATTTTTGCAAATAGGCTTTTAAAACGCAGTTTTACACGTCCCAGTATTAACCCTACCACTGCTTCAGGACAATAAATGGGCCAGTGCTAAGAAGAAACGTTCTTTACGTTCATTTATTGTACATATTATCTTCAATTTTGTTGTGAAAATAAAATGTTAATAATTATTGTCTTTAGGGCTATATCTTTTGGAAGAAAATATTTATTTATTAAAGGTCTTATGCATAATTAAACTAAGTCAGTGACTAAGGTAAGGCAGCGGTATAGATGACCCACGCTGAACTGTCCCGCCAAACTCAATGACAGGGGGGCGCTACCATCGTTCAACTATATGGTTTCCAACATGGCAAAAATCTGAACCAGCGATCCGGTATTGACAGTGGCGCCCCACTGTCAATGTCATCGACAGGACAGTCCAGTATTTTGGAACTATACATACAGGGGGTGTTTTTATGACGTCAAACGTCAGCGAGACTTCAGATGTGTTTCAGACTTGTATGTTCTGTCACGTCATAATTTATGTCACCCCTCCCGTGTCGCTTCAATACCTCAGGCACTGATTCAGTTATGCTCTAAACCTGTATTTGCTATAAGCTCTCGTAATCCTAATATTTATTTTCCTTCGACAGCAAACGCCAGGCCACTAGACGAGTGTGGTTGGATATGCGCCGTGGGCGGCGGCAACGGAGGCAACGGATTCCCCTTCGGAAGCGAGGCGGCGCCATACATCATTTACTTACGGCCGCTGTTAGCTCGTACGTATTACTTTTAGTACTTATTTAGATTCGACAGCGAATGTCAGTAGGCTTGGGATGTGCGGCACGATAAACTTTTATCGATTTTGTATGATACATTTGAGCCACAGCATACATGCTATTTTATGCCCGTTTTCACCATCTATCCCTCATAAGTGACCCTTATGAAAACAAAATGCCTGTTATGTGTTACCATAGGGATTAAAAAAATAGGATTGATGGTCAAAACGGGCATTAGCCTCTGTTTAGAAGATGTAAGCAACGACCATACATTCCACACCGCACGCCAAAAGCGGCAATGAGTTGCTTTTTGGAAGCTCGATGCATCGACAGCAGTCGCTTAAAGCGCGATTCCGATAGCGCGTCCGTACGCATGAAGTCGCGAAATCGTGATACTGCATCGATACAGTCGCAAAATCGCCGATCGCCAATGCTAAAAGTAGCATGTCGGTGTGCGGTGACCTGTGTTCCCCGATGATAAAAAGAGGCTGGTAGAATTATGAGAGCCATTAGACGAGTGCGATAAGATTTTATCGTGACTGGCTGGCCAGTAGACGAGTGTGGTTGGATATGCGCCGTAGGCGGCGGCAACGGAGGCAATGGATTCCCCTTCGGAAGCGAGGCGGCGCCATACATTATCTACCTACGGCCGCTGCTAGCACGTAGGTACGTTATCATTAACACTACAGTACACGCGCCCCTTTTTTTATACCAATACACGCGCGGCCTACTCTGGTAAGCCAATTTAAAATCACTGTAAATCAGTTTGTAAGCAATTTATGAATAAAATTACTATGTAAATAATAAAAGTGTTTATTATAGTTATTTTATAATCAAAGTTTCTTTATAATACTATTTGGGATTAAACATTATAAACGGATTTAAAATTTGTAATTTTTTTGGACCAAAATTGCACTCTGAAATCCATGTTAGCAAAAAAATTATTTACTGAAAAAATGTGTTTTTTTTTATCTTTTATAGTATCCAAGACTTTCTACTACCTGGTACACGGGGTAAATCCATTTTTTGCAAGTCTTCCATATTTTTTTGTCGAGTGATTTCGGGCTTTTGAGTAGACCCGCAGTTTTGACGGCCAATTTTAGAAAAATGCGCAGACGCTAGCGACCCAAGCTTTACTGGCTTATTGACAAATTTAGTAAACAAGGCTTTCCTGGAATGCCAGCTCTCTGGCGCAAGTTTTAAAAAGTTATGCCGTAAAATGTTACCCTGGTTTACTATAGTAGGCCACGCGTGTACTCTAGTGTTAAATCATTTCTACCGAATTCCGTAAAGTTTTGAACAATTCGACCACTGTTGGCTTAGTGTGAGTTTACATCAAATGTCGTCACTAGTGAGTGCGTTAAAAAAATAAAGATTTTAGTTCTTGAAAGTTTCCGCTAGGGGCGTTGTACAATCCGCCATACATTTGATGTCACTTTTTTACGCAGCTGACATTGAATCCGAATGACATAAACCATACTACGCCTCCAGTTCATAGAATAGCAACTGCAACTGCTCGTTACTTTTGAGTTGCATCTAAGTTTCTGCCATAGCGTCCGTTGAGAGACTTTCAGTTTCAGTTTCATTCATCAGAATCATCAGAAAGTTGCAGTTTCGTTGCAGTTGCGTTTCACCGTCTGTTCTGGGCCTTAGAGAACTACCTTTCGTCAGATCTCCGACGAATGGGGTCGACTTATTTCTGATTTTCTAATTGTTTATTCATAACTAGCGTTCCGCCCTGCTTCGCACGGGTACTATACATGTAAACCTTCCTCTAGAATCACGCTATTTACTGTTGAAAAATGTATTATAATGCTAATAATATATCATTTGTTTTATTTCTTTACAGAGGGGCCACTAAGCGTAGAGGCGTTAGGTGCGTGGGGCGCGCACAAGAGGCGCTACTCTGTGCGAGAACAATCCCACCAGGCCATCGAGGCGCATAACCGACTGTGAGTATAGATATACGTGATATTGATATCGTTTATTAATGAGGCTGAATGAATGCTATCGTTTTTATACCTAATGTTGGCACCATTTGCATTGGCGTTATCATGGTGAGTGTAAATGAGAGTCCACCTACCGCTTCAGTCTCACCAGTTGCTCTACCCACTACACCGTATCATACCATGACCGTGCTAGGAACGTGTCAGGCAAATAAATATTATTTGTATTGAAAAGTATGACACTGTTCCCAGTAGACCAGTGGTTCCCAAACTTATTTAGTCTACTGCCCACTTTGAGAATAAATTATTTTTTAGCGCCCCCCCTTTTTTGTAGTCAAGAGTCGAGCTCAGTCTATGTCTAAGAGTCCTCCTAGTAGATGACGCCTCCCAAGCCTCCTCTACACAACGTCCCGATTTTTTTTCTGGGTCTCTTACCGCCCCCCTTTAAGCCTGCAGCGCCCACAAGGGGGCGTTATCGCCCACTTTGGAAAAGACTGCAGTAGACCGTTCCGTCACCGACCAACACCGACGCGTGCCATGCACGGAGCGTCAACAAATGTCGGCGAGAATATTTTCGATCCGTTCAGTGGGCATAGTAGAGCGTGTCGTGTTGCTTTTCGTGCCTGACACGTTCCTAGCACGGCCATGGTATGATACGGTGTAGTGGGTAGAGACCTTAACTATCCATTTCCGTTTTTGCTCTCGCTCTCATCAAATGGTGATTCTTTGCGATAGAACAAGACGACATGACTGGCAATGGACAGTTAACACTGTTGCCGATAGTACTGTAAAGTAAAGTCAGTCACTTCCTAGTGGCGAAGACAGTGGTGAGCACTAAAACGATAGCCTAAATAGTTGATAACGTGTATACTAAGCTGTAATTTTCTACGATTCCTATTTTGACAAAAATTTGATATCTCTGTCTGCGACTTGACTCAGCACGTTGTCCACATGGGTTTCAGCACTGACCGAATATTTGCGCCCCAAAACTCCCAAACTCACCGTTCCATTTTAAATATATTTTTCCCATGTTTAAGTAGCAACTTTCTTTCTACGCATGTATACAACTAGAAGCTGTTGAAACATCGTTAAAAACAAATGGTAATGCATAATGTTTAAATACTTTTTTGCTTCATACCGTAGGTCCCAGGGCCGGTCGCGCTTGATCTCAGCGCCTACCAACTTCGCGCACCTATCACACATGGGTCCTGGTGATGGAATCCGTTCGCAGCGTCTGCTTGACTTGCCCACCACCGTGGAAACAGCCGACGAGCAGCAGCAGGTATACAGTATACAGAATGGAATTTCGTAATGCCATCTGAAGGGAAAGTACTCTTAAGAATATACAGGGTGGAATTGATAAGCGATCTCACTCAATTTTTTTTTAATCCACAACAAGGAAAGCCTGTATCTGACCTGATGGTATGTGATGATCAGGCCGAAGGTGGATTACTTCTAAACAATACTAGATATTGAAAAATTGGTTACTGATCCTGAAAGTGCTCCACGTGCTTTAACGGTATCAATAAATAGGTTGCAGAATAAACTGGATTTATATAAAAAAAAAACTATGTTTCCAGCTTCCATACTAAAAGTATGCCAGCCTTAGAGTGAGATCGAAGTACATAGAAATTGCCCCTAAAGAAAAAAAATCTTTGTTTTTGAAAAGAAAGAAAACTGCATTCAAAGATTTCCGATAATTCGCTTGCCACACCCGAAAATAGAACGGATTAAAATCTACTAAAATTTCATCCTTATAATAATTGACCCTAACGGTAATGTTACAAATATTTTGAACTGTATGTTTGTTACAGATGTACAGCAGTCGAGAGAGCAGTAAACGAACGTCACCGCTAACGATATCGCACGGGACGGGTTCTTATAATGGTGAGTTGTTTGTGGTTTTGGTCCCTTTTAATTGAAATTGATTTGTTCAAAATATTCTTCTCGTCAGTAATTTGATAATATCATTATGATGATGTGATGTTACTGATGTCTATTGAGATACTTTTTATTAGCTCTCAATTTTTTTCATGTACTCTTTCGTAGATTTATGCATGAAGTAATTTTAATTTATGTTTTTTAAGTCAAGAAGTGATTTAATGATACTAATTTAAAATAAAACAAAAAGCTTTTAATCTTGTTTTGAGTCACTTCAAGTAATTATTTAAGAATAAAAACTTTAAAAAAGCCTATTTGCAAGAAAAAAAAACGAGTTTTAACAGTATCCGATGTAGTATTGTTACGAATTGTCTACTACGAGTAAAAAAACTATTGACTGGTTACTATTACTAACTAAAGTGCGATCGCTGAGCACGTAGAATTTTGTCCAATGACTCCAAGTTACCCATCCTTATCGCTCGCGCGTAATTATGTTGCTGTCGCGCTCGCACACTCACTGCGGCCGCCCGTCGCACAGTCGCGACAGCAATAAAATTACGCGCGAGCGATAAGGATTGGTAGCTTGGGGTCATTGGACGAAATTCTATCTGCTCCGCGACCAGACTATACTATTGTGTAAGGACCTTAACTGTTTAGACTACTCTCAATAGAAGGTTTATTGTGTGGGACTCACCGGTGACCCCCACGGCGTTGAATGCCTCTACAGGGTGGATTTTTGTAATGCCACCTCTGGGAGGAAAGGGAAAGTACTCTTAATACTGTAGATAGAAAATTTTAATCAAAGAAAACATTCCTTAATTTTTGAATAGAAATAGAACTGCATTCAAAGATTTTCAAAAAATTGCTTGCTACACTCGGGAATCGAACCAACTAAAATCTGTTAAAAATTACACCCTGTATTTTTATTGCATCGATCGTTAGGGTTAAGTATAAAGATGAAATCTCTCAAACAAACTTGATAAATCAAATGAAATGAAAACCATGAAATCTTAAATTATTGTAATTATTTACAGAAAATTGTATGGTATGGTGGTAAATTTTCGAAAATCTTTGAATGCAGTTTTTTTTTCTTTTCGAAAATAAAGGAATGTTTTCTTTGAGTAAACTTTTCTATCTACAGTATTAAGGGTACTTTTCTTCCAGGTGGCATTACAAAATTCCACCCTGTATAATAATGTCTTAACTGCCCTAGGCTCGTGGCGAGGCGCGCGTCCGCGAGAGTTGCCGCCGGCCGCGCCCGACGCGCCGCCCTCGCCGCCGCTGTCCATCCACCGCCCCATGGAGAGGTCAGTACTAACAACTTGTTGATATTCATTGTGGAACCGCTCCAGTTACCGCGATGTTAGATCACAGAATAATAATAACTAATATGGTGTTATTTAGCTTGTCTCAAGAGTCAAGCACCATTTTGTTGACAAACGTCAGTGATCGGCACTGCGCCGAAGCTATAGGGCTGACTTCGGTGAAATGATGTGACGTGAGGTGCTGCAAACTGCAAAAAATGGCGGAGGAAGTACATAATATAACATGACTTATCGTGAATAATATTAACTACTTATTTACCTCTCAGTGTCTTCAGGCAACTTAAAAAAGTACATTCTGTGTTTTTATAATTATTTAGGCAGTTAAATACTGCACAGTATTTAGTACACTATTTTCTTTATTTTTTCCATCATACACAAGAATACGCGTGCGTGAGTCAATGTTCGCTCGTATGTGAGGCCTTGTCGAATAGTATCCTGTAGGGGGCCATCGTGCGTGTTTTGTTTTCGATGTGAACTCGCGGAGATGAACAGGCCTGGTAAGATGCCAACAGGCAGGAAAACCAAAGTCAAAATTTTCTTTATTTGTTTAGACTAATTAAATTAGTTCTTGCAAATCGTCAAATGCTCTTAAGTGACCGATGTAGCCCGCATAGTTGCAAAAATCAAGTGGTAGTGGGCAGGGCGCATAGCTCGCAGAGCTGATGGCTATTGGCACACGGGCCGGAACACGTATTGTGGGTAGACCGACAATCTGGTGAAGTTCGCGGGAAGTACGGTTATCGCAAGTGGGAGGTCACAAAGAAATGCTTCCACTAACCTCTTCGCTTATCTTACTGAACCCTCACTAGTTAGGATAAAGCCTATCATTCTGCCCAGTTTATAGGTTTCCTTCGTTAGATAATACACAATAGTTTATTGCTTCCATAATGTTTACAAAAGGTACATAATAAAGTCAATATACATTCGTCGGTCATTTGGTGTAGTGGTTATAAAACGGACTACTATGCCGAGAGGTCCCGGGTTCGATTCCCGGCCGAAATTATGAATTTTCGTGACCTTGATTTTTTTTTATGTATTTACTAGCCTTGACAATAGACCCGAAATAGACCCACCACCACCCATGGTTCTTCCTGCCTCACGGCGTACGAACCGAATCTCGGGAGAGCGCGCGGGTACTCGCTCTGGGCTTTCCCCGGGCGCTTAGCTTGACTCCCTACAAATTTCTCTGATCCATGTCCCTTCTCATAGTCAATTCTCTCCCTTCTGGGGCTTGACACCACAAATACGGTACTTCGCGTCGGGCTGCTATCGTTGATAAATGTCATCACTTCTCATATAATTCCAAAATACTGAACTGTCCTATCCATGACATTGACAGTGGGGCGCCACCGTCAATACCGGATCACTGGTTCCTATTTTTGCCATGTTGGAAACCATTAGTTGAACGATGGTAGCGCCCCCCTGTCATTGAGTTTGGTGGGACAGTTCAGCGTGGGTCATCTATAACTTCGCCTGATGAATAGACCCGAAATACCTCGCTGATCTAACAATACCTCCCGCAGGTCAATCGGCGGTGGTTCCGCTGGCAGCGGCTCGCTGCTTGAGCGCTCCATCACGCCGCTCAGCCTCGGCTCCATGAGTTCGCTGCACGACGTGCTCAAGGTAATTATTATCATCATCATTCATCTTCATTGAGTAGCTCACACAAGTCAATCTTCGGAAGTCGCATCTTAACTTCGAACTCCTCCTTTGTTCTTCTAATTAATTTCTTTGCGGGTCCAATGACAGTTTAACTTTCCCCCGGGACAAATTTGACCTTCACTGGTTGGGTTTTATAGGCGGTCAAGCTGTAGTTTCTGGCTATACAAAAGTTGCAGCGGTGGGAATAGTCCCGTAAAAAAGACAAACTGCTCCGTAAGCGGTAGTGTAGTTGACTTTGTTACGAATGTAACTTTGTGTATTTAATAACTAAGTTTGATTAAATTGATTCTTCGCATTCAAATGTACAGACCTGTGAATGATATAAATATTAATTCGATCAATATTGAATATAGATTTAAAGGTTCATCATAAATGAAATGACGTTCAAAATTCGATTCACACTGGAAATAGATTGTCTTTTGATTGATCTATAATATTGAATCTAACAAATTACAGACCTTGAATATGAATAGAGCTCAGATTTAGTTACGATGTCCATTGACCAGTGCACGTCGGAGCGCACTTATACGGTCGTAAAGAAAATAGTATTTTATTAACAGTTTTTAGTATCGTAATTGCTTACAACTAATCAACTGACATTTCAATTCTGACGGATGCGCGAGCATGCGTCGGCAGCCGGTCCCTTCCGAGCGTATTCCATCGGATTTTTACGCTACGCTGCGCGACGACTCGCGCCGGTCAATGTGAATCCTGCCTTAGAATCGAGTTTTGGAATTCATTTCATCACACGAACCGTAGTGTCTCTTGATATTATGGCCCTGAGATCACAAGATAACCGATTGATGACACATCTCTTGCCGCATCACATTTGTCGGCCGTTTGGTGTAGTGGTTCAGAACGTACTACTATGCCGAGAGGTCCCGGGTTCGATTCCCGGCCGGGCAGAAATTGAAATGATGAATTTTAATTTCTGTGACGGGTCTGGGTGTCACTATGTATAATATGTATGTATTTAAAAAAAAGTATATAAGTAGTATATCCGTTAAGCTAGCACCCATAACACAAGCATATTAATTGCTTACTTTGGGGCTAGATGGCGCTGTGTGAGATTGTCCAAAGATATTATATCACCGGTCAACAAAAAAAAAATTTTTTTTTGCGCATGGATTTTACTTATTATATTCTAATTATATAAGTAAATTTATATAAAAAAGTGCGATTACAAATCGAAAATATTTGCTTTTTAAGAAGTTATAGCGATTTGAATTTTCCATCTTCATAGTAGAATGTCTCTAAAGATGCACGTCCCATTCTCATTGGGATATATTTATAAATAATTATGGGGGCTTATTCGCAAGAACAAGGGGCACGCTTTCATCAAAATATCGTGAGATTTGAGAGACGACGTTACCAAGGCCATTATACTGAAAGCATGATAGGGTTAGATTTTTATGCGAAAAATCTTCTATGGAACATGACAGGAAATTAGAACTTTTCATTTTTAATAAATATTTGGACTCTATTTTAAATCTTCTCTTGTGAGAATTAATCTTAAATGGATTTTTGGTATGTTTTAATAATTAAAAAGAATGAAAGAAAGAAAGAAAAAAATATATTTGGCAACAAATTGAATCGTCTCTATGTTCATGTTTCATACATTCATTGATATGAATTTTTCTATTTTTTACACATAAAAGCAAATTCAGAACAATTTTTTGTTGTTATTCTTAATTCTAGGTCATAAAGCAATAAAAATAAGCTATGCATAACCCGTGCGCAAAAATGCTGTAGACAGTTGTTATATTATCACCTTCGCTCGCACGCACTCACTACCCCCTTGTCACGTGATTGCGTCAGCTTTGCCCACAGGTGGGCGAGGGCGAGCCGCACTCTGAAGGCAGCAGCTGCGGCGCCTCCCCGCCGCACCCGCTTGACCCCTGATGGTGAGTTACGTCACCATCCTACTAATATTATAAAAGGAATGATTCCTCGGTAGTGAAATAAAGATAAAGATATTTATTTACATAAACATTAAACATGTGTGAAAACATATTGCAGAGCAACATGATTTGGTCTTATAAAAATTGTATTTAGTCCCTCAGACAGATAATAGAAAAAATTTGGGCACGTACTTTTTCTTTCTTTTTTCAACGTCGAGTTCAAATGTCACCACTCTGTAATATTCTACACAATAGTGACGTCACGTGTTTGAACTCCATTTAACACTGTAATTATTTGAGTATGAAAAAAAGAAAAAATACGTATTCAATATTTTCATTTCTTATCATGTCTGAAGGACAAAAAAATAAAGTTAACTATTAATTTAACCAATCAATGTTGATAAGAGCGTTGGCCGCTGCGTCTGGAAAAACCTTTACACAAAAAAAAAATGATACTTTACATTAAAGTCATGTATTGTATGTATAATATGATAAATGCGAAAGTTCGTGAAGATAGATATTTATTTATTACTCCTTAATGTAAAACTACTTCGATGGTTATTAGAAGTAGGTACAACGAAAGATATTAGTTCACGATTAAACAGCTGTTTTTATTGTATTTATCTTAATGTATATTTCTACACAAAAGCCATACTCACTAAACTTGTGCAATTAATTGTTATCTATATTCCAGAAACCAACTCAATTCGTCATGGAATATCGACATGTCCCGTTTTTACGCTTGCTTCTGTTGAGCGACCGCGCTCGGCGCCTGCGAGACGCGCGAAAGTCGACCTTATCGCGAAGGCGTTACGCATAATTTATTCACGAATTTGGTTCCTATATATAAATGAAATTATTTGCAATATTTATTATATAAAAACGGAGATATCAACATGACAGATAACACAATACCTTCCAATATATGATAATAAAATAGTTGGATTAGTTAATACCCGATGTGGCTTGTAGGTCAATTAGAAACAGTTTGGGACGTCCCAATGTAATCTCATGCTAACATACGTGTGTATGTACGTTTGTAAATAATAGAATTGACACGATTTCGGACAGAAATTAACGATATTTTTAAATGACCATTGAAATTAATGGGGATATTATTTATTCAAGATTTTATTTCGTTCGGTGATAACGAATCGTCAAAACTACTATTTATGAACTGTTTCATAGCCTTCTCGTGTTCATTGAAATCAAACACGATTTGTAAATAACTGAAATGTAGAATATTAATTTTGTAAACACTACAAAATAGTCTCTTTTTCACAATTTGTCTTCAAAATCCCTAATGCAACCGCGGAGTTCGCATTTGACCAAATGTATTGTAAGTTGATAAACTTAGTGATTTTATATTTTACCACCCGGTATTATTGACGATTTCCAATGACACCGTCAAGGCTATTTGTATATCGTATTTTATATGAATTAACAAATATTATAAATAAAAAATAGGTGTAGATTTTATTAACCAAATTGTATTTATTTGCTTCTAAGGCCCTAAGAATACTCTGTACGCCATTTTGTTACCATTCTTGCACCGCCGATTTTATTTAATTTAATCAAACGAAATGGCGTTGTTTTTAGTTTTAGTTTAACATTGACGGCTAGCGTGAACAAATATCACTGCCAACTTACAGGTGTACCTAATAATACGATGAAATCTATGACATAATATTTCGAATAGTTTTTTCGACAACGTATACCTACATTTTATTTTCGTTTGACTAAAATATATTCAAAATAATCTCGAATACAAAATCTCGTATGATAATAAAAGTATAGGTTTGCCTTGTAATTTAAGAGTGTTACGAACATGTATTTTCATTTAGAAAATAAAGTTTTTTGAATGAAAATGTATGAAGTAGGAAGATTAGATCGGTTCCATGTTTGCGCTAGATAGTTTAGCTAACAAATAAATTGTATAAATAACATGAAATCGCTTCCAGGTTTCTCTAATGCTAAGCTAGTTTTGATGGAAATATTACATAGAATTTTATTAATTTCAGAGTTGGTCAATTTCATTGAACGGTCGTGTTTTTTGAAAAGTAAACCCTTTTAGTAGTAAACAAAAAATTGAGAATCAAAATGAGATCAAAAACTGCACAAATTAAATGAGGCTACCTTTAATAAGACCGTTTCAATGAAATTAGCAACGTGATTATTTTATAATTACTTTACCAAAATAATTGTCACATTTTTACCTTAAGTTGGAGTATGTATATCCGTTAACACAATGTCGCTTGTCACATTTTACTTTGATAACGTTTCTGCGGGGCTAACAGTCTCGAGATTTATAGTTGTGAATATGTTTTTATAAAAACAAAAAAAAAATCTCGGTATAGAATCTTTATTCGAATACGTATCAAAATTAGTTCTTACAGTTTGTAGAATTTTGTCTGTGGTTTCGAAGCATAACCATAGCTAATAGAGCAACCTTTGGTTGATAAAGGGCGAAGTTTGTAATTCTTTTGTACAAACAACAATTCGTGAAATATTTTTAAATACAGATAAATTGAGAATCTCCTTAAATTTTAGACTCGGTTATAATTCACAACTACCACAGGGTCCAAAAGCTTGGGAGTTTTATTCACTGATTGACAAAAAAAAGTTATTTAATCAGAAAATGGGCTCTATTGATATTAATTATAATATCAAAAAGCCAGCTCACGAATATTGCATTCTGTATCGCGAATACAGAAGCAAAACTATACTTTTTGCATTAATTTCCTCCAGTATTGGCCCTGTCTCCGAGACTGCCCGATTTAATTTGCGAACCCTTCGACGTTCTTATCTCATTATATTATGTGATTATATATTTAAATTTAAGTCAATGAATAATTAAATAATTGTTATTTTTAACAATCTAGTCTTTTTGTTTGTTTATATTATGACCATAATGTATTATTATGATTTTTGTATCTTCGCTGTATGTTGTAAGCGTAATATTAGTTTCGTTTAGATGAACACTGAGATTTTTAGAATAATTGATATTGGATGGTCGTCTGGTGACTAGAACAACATTTTTGGTCGAGCAAATTGATTTAAGCAACATGTTTGGATATTTATAGCCTTATGATTATGACGAGACTTAAAAGGATACTAGATGTAGTTTTGCTCAATCAAAAATGACTTCCATAAATATTTTTAAAACAGTGTAATTCGCAATTTTTTATTTTATTTTTTACGTTTAAAACATCGATTTTATAAGTTATCCAAAGATCTGTCTGTCAGACTTAAAAGATCGTGTGTCGGTAATTTAGTAAAATAATTAGCTTTTTTATATGAAATTGAAATTTATTAAATTTTGTACGAGAACTGAATTTTATAATTATTGCTTTAATTGGCAGAAATGGACTTATTTACGGCTTGGATTGTATGACGCCTAGTTTGATAATTGTATGGCTATTAAAGGAGACGTATTTTCGAAGCATTCGAATTGTGAATCGCGTACAAAATGTCGTATACGATTTTTATGTGAATTAGAATGATTCAAAAATAGGTTCCCAGTTCTTATTGCGTGAAGCGAGTTGAAATTATGTATCTTATTTCGACATATAAAATGTAATCAAAATTTTTGGGTACCAATGTGTATTATGAACGCGAAACACCAAATTTTAAAAAATAAGCTGTTTTATTATTACGCCAAGTTAAAATGGATTTCTCAATGAGTTGTATTTTCCACATATTATTCTCGCGAAACCTATTATGTATGATATAATGTATGTCACTTACAATGAAATAGTAACTAGCATAATCTATTTTCTAATACAGTTTTATTTTGTATTTTGCAAATTTTAATCTTCCATTATGTCCACCCATATGTAATGATAGTCAATTGATGAAATTATATTTACAGTGACTTAAAAATTGGCAATTGTGATTTTGTAACCTAATAAATGTGAAAACGAAAATTTGTTGAATTATGACCCCATACGGGGGGTATTGTTGAACATTGTAATTAATAAAATAAAGGTGAGCGTACAACTGCGGGCGACTTGGATATTTGTGAATTTTTACAAAGATTGCACATTATCGTTGATTGCACACTACATTTATTCATATCTGTAACGAAAAATATATAACACAGTTTTTTTTTTAAATGATACGTACCCTTAAAAGTAGGATTTTGATTTACTTCCGCAAAATGTTGCCCACGGTTGTACACCAGACTTTATATAATGTAGATTTTGCTAAAATTAATATAAAGAGTTATGCATTTTATAATCGAGAACACATATATTGCGAAAACGTAAGCTTTCCACTATCATTTATTTGTTAATTATTGGACAATATACTAGTAAAGCGAAAGTAATTATATCTCTATGTACCTCTTAGTCTGTAACGCTCCTGTTTTGCGCTATAGCAAAGTATTATTCTATCTAATAACCCTCTCAGTATTTACAGAAAAAGCAAGTTTTTAGAGTAATATTTTGCTATAAATAATATAAATAAACTGTATTCAATTTAAGTGCGACATTAATCTGAAGTGCTTTTTGAAATAGGTGCCATCAATTTTGATCATTTCTCAGACTTGAAACGTATGTGTTTATTTTGAATGAGTTGGCCTAAATGTAGCTCATTTGTTCAGTATACGCACAGCATATTTCAGATCTGATGAATCGATCATTCAGGAAAATAAAGTGAAATCCGAAATCGATATAAAAGCGATTTAAGATCGCTTTCTCGCGGGCGTTGAAACTAATCGGTTATCCAGTCGTTTGCAGTTTTCACACGTCCGCCATTTACGAACAAAGTTGCGTAGTTTTATTGCAAGAAATAGTATTATAGCCTTCGCGGATATCTTCCTTGTATCTAACGGTTCATACACTATATTATAATTTGTATGTAAATCTAAATTATTGACTAATATTAATTGCAATTACATGAAATTCAATACTTAATTATTTTATGTAAATACCTAAATAAAGAAACATTTGAATGAATCTGTATGTTTTATTAAAGGATTCCTTTTTCAATAAATAAAACGCAAATGTATAAATACACTTTTATTCAGCAAGTCACTACCGTCAATAGTTAATATAAACGCAACACTTAAAACAATCTTAAGTCTTTGTACAAGGCAATTTTGTATCAACAATATTCACAATCAATGGGAAGCAAAAATTCATCAATAATGTTATAAATAAAAGGCGAATAAACAATATAATTGCAGAACACAACGATTACATCGATCGGATAAAATTGGGTTGATTTTATCGAACCCAAGTGTACAAAATGTGAGTATTGCACGAATAAAATGGTTCAAAAACAGTATATTTTGCTTCCCGCTGACGCCGCGACCTCGTAGTTAATTAAACATTTACTACACTACATATTTATAATTGCTGCAGATTGACAAGCCTAAACATGAAGTGACCACAACACAACAATTTGAGTATTTCAACATAAATAAAAAAATCTCGTAAGTACGTATGGAAATTTATTCACTGTCAGTTTGAGCTTTCGGTTACAAATAGGAATGTGCAGTTATAAAGCGAATCGACCATGACTTCGGCGTCGCTTCTTCGAATTTTTCGTATTATTTCTGTAAGAAAACTTAAAATTATGAAGAGTTAATTTAAATTATAAAATGACGAATAATACTTTTAATTACATAATGGACGATACACCTAAAATTAATTGTAAGATACGCTAGAATTTGGTGCGAGAAACAAAACACTAGTGAACGGTAAATGCTATGAATATACGGTTAGGATGAGATTGTTCCGACGTTCTAGGGGACACGGGTCTTATGACCGTGCGGACCTTTTATATTGCATTATATTTTGAAGGTGCAAGCTTGGTGATTCAGAGCCGTGTCCCGTAAAATGCATATTTTGAGCTAGCTCACAAAATAAATGCCAGTCTTACGTCCGTACCTAAATTTTGACACGGTTTTGGACACTGCCACATGACGAGCTGGATACGACGTGCGCAGACGTCATACGACGTCCTGTCACATTGCATTTGCATCGGTACAGTCGGCGTCAAATAGTTCGTGACACACAAAGTGGCCAATAAGTTCGCAACACGTCTTTGTTACAATTTGGAGGTTGTGTTGTCAACTTTTTGACCACTTTCGATGTCTTGCACTATTTGACGCTGACTGTGTGCCACACTCGTTGTCGCACTATTCAGGAGCGTGTTTAGCAAAATTGATAACATATTGGGTTGATATGTTTATCATCTACATAGCATATTTTGGCTGAAAGAAAAGTTACTGGCACAAATTAAATATTTGATGTGACACTTCGAATTAACAAACATATCAAACCAATAATATTACAATACAATCATTTATAATCCATCATGTCTCTGGTATACATAATGTGTACCAGAGAAATGTAGGTTTATTACATTTAAATTTTTCGATTTTTTTCATAAGAACTCAATGGGTTCAGCTTTTACATTTCTAGTCCCAGCCCAGTAATATTTGAGACTAAAATTCTTTAGGACAAGTTACAATGATTTTTTGTGTGATTTCGACAAATCGTTTATGATTTTTTTGTCCTGCAGAACTGATGTATAGCTGTCGTTTTAAATTGGAAATTTTTAAACGACAAGCTGATTAAGATCCTTGTAGACGAACAACTTTTGACGTGGTTCTGGGAAGTAAATATGACAAAGTAGGCTTTAAATGTCCAGACCTACGCTGGCAGAACATGTGTTATTTTAACGTGTAGGCGTTCCCGACAAGGATGTGATATTGACGAAGTTTATTGAAGATCTAAAAAACATTATTATGTGCTACTATTGTTGTGGGTAAATGGTGTATCACATCACTAGTATTGGAAGGAGTAGCAGATTTTCAATAATTATTGATATTTCGATAGGTCGCTGAGCACGTAGAATTTTGTCCATTGACCCCACGCTACCCATCCTTATCGCTTGCGCGTAATTATATTGCCGTCGCGACTGTGCGACGCGCGCCCGCAGTGAGTGTGCGAGCGCGATAGCAATATAATTACGCGCGAGCAATAAGGATGGGCAGCTTGGGGTCATTGGACAAAATTCTACGTGCTCGCAGACCAGACTATACTGGCAACACTAGACAGCGGTCAACATGGTTGTTCGTGTACAAGGAGTGAGAGTGAGGAGTGAGGCGCGCTCAGTCGGCCTTGCGCGCGCGCCGCCGCCGCACCTCGCGCCGCGCGTCGCCCGCCGCCGCGCCCGCCGCCGCCGCCTCCGAACCAGACGACTGGAATAAAGATTATAACATTACACAAAATACAGGGTGGAATTTTGTAATGCCACCTGGAGGGAAAGTACTCTTAATACAGTAGTATTATACAAGTAGATAGAAAATTTTACTGAAAGAAAACATTCCTTTATTTTTGAAAATAAAGAGAACTGCATTCAAAGATTTTCGAAAAATTTTCGAAATTTCTGTACCATACCATACCCTCGTAAGACCGAAGAGTAAATATTGTCGACATCTAAGTATCGCCGAATGTGCTTTCAGAAGAACGAATAATTTGTAGTAGTAAACGCCGAGCACTTCGAGTAAAAAAATTTCTATGTTAGAGATTTTCTTTTGCATTCATATTTTCAGGGGCCCTATATAATAGTGCATAGAGCTTATTTTAGGTGAAAAATAATAAAAAAATGTTTTCTCTTAAAAGAACATTCGGTATTGCAGACTTTAAAAAGAAAAAGTAAATAAATTGTATTTTATACTTTAAAGCAAAACATAAATGTAACTTTCTTAATAAATTAATACTACATAAAGATACAATAATGATATTAATAAATGTAACTGAAAAGTTACAACGGTTTTAATTATATTTAATGTTTCATAATTAGTACTTTTAAAAGTACTATCGGTTTTATAATATACACTAATGATAGGTTAGAATTTATAAGAAGTAAAGTGAATATTCATGTTAATTATAATATTTACTAAACTAAAAATCAGTATGTTCTTATGGTAAATTTTCTCAATCATATGATAATTTTAAAAGTCCAATATTCAATTTCATCTTAAAAGAAAAAATATACAAAAACAATACTTTCACCATCAAGACCGAATGTTCCTTGCAAAGAACTATTATTTTCAAACGAAAAAAAATCTTACATAACTACTTCAAATTGGGAAAAAAAATTTTTTTGCTTGTTAAGCAGTATTTTAACTTAAATTATACTGGTCAGTTTTGCAATTAAACTACGTTTACGTGAAGAAAAAAAATTAATCGCTCATCACGTCTTCTCCGACGAACCACTCTGTCAAAGAAAAATGATAATTTGACAGTGACATTTTGTTTTTTTTATATTGATAGGTTCGGATACTTAATTTTGAACAGTTTAAGCCATAGAGTATCACTCTTTTTTTTCGATAGGCGCGAATTTTTGAACTTAAATTTATCGCTAAAGTTTTAGTTCCTCTGAAGGCACATCCGGCGATACTTCGAAATCACCTCCGAAAATGTCTCGGCGTTACTGACTACAAAGTTTCAGTTCCTTCTGAGGCACATCCGGGCTTACGAGTATACAATGAGGATCATTTCGATTTTTAGCTGTGAATGCAGATTTATAGGTCTAAGAAATCCTTAATACACAGTCCAAAAATTTTTGTTCTACGACAAAAATTGACGAAGTTATGGCCAAATTACTAAAAAAGTTCACTGACCGCCCGGCGCGGGACCGATGACGTCACTATATCCGATCCGAACGCTGCCGGCGTACTGCGTGGATAGAAAATATTTTTTTCTAGCCAAACTATCAGTTTTAGAGAAAAACTTGTTATNGTGTACATAATTAAAATAATTTAAGATTTCATGGTTTTCCTTTCATTTGATTTATCAAAGGACAGTGCCAATCCATGTATGGAAGTTGGACCAAGTGCTGCCCAGAATGAAACCATAGTGCATTTTGTTCCTCAGGCCAATACTAATTTATAAACCGGAGCGCACTGAAATTTATCCCTGGAGTTAAGAGAAAAAAAGTTTTGTTTTGAATTATTTACATACAAAATATCATCGATGTATACGTACTACGCATAAGATTTCGCGATTGTGGCATTAAATAACACTCGCTATGTTGAAATTAACCATACTGCATCCATAAATGTTAAATGCATAAATGTTATTTAAAATTATTTTTAAGGTAAATACTAACCCTCTCTCTGATGTTTTGCTGTGCCCTTGCAGGGCGTCACATGTATACCTACCTCTATTTTGCAACAACATATAAATTGTAATGTGACATGCAATAAACGTTTTGAATTTGAATTTGAAACCCAATTAAACTAATTTTTTCAATTACAATTCGAACAAAAATCTAAATTTACAGGTTATTTAAAATAAATTAGGTTTTTAAGAGCAGAATGAAGAGTCTTTTTAAAACAGTTGTGGTTTTGAATTATTGGGGTATGGTGTCAAACTGTCTATAGTTACGTAACATAATATTACACGAGACTTAGTCCAAAAGCGGGTCACTACACAAATTATAGAATGATGATAATGATTTACAAAAAAGTTAATAATATTTTTGTATTAGTACTTACAAATGTTGATTAATTTGAGACTTAATAGCGCAGTAAGAATAAGTTTATTAATTTGCCTAAATAAATATTTATTAAGGTACCTAATTATGTTAAATCACTTCTATGACACAAATAGCTAGGTCATAAGTAAGCGCATCGCTTTATTCAAATGAATATGTAATCTAAATACATAATAAAATAAAAATACAAAAACTTACGTCGCTCGGGGAGTTCTTCTCAGCGTCACTGTTGGCGTTATCGGCATCATCCACTATATCGTCGTTCAGGAGTTCCTGTAAACAAAAAAAAAATTAAAATATTTGGAAGTCAAAGTTTTTAGGGCGCTTATACTCTTCCCAATCAGCTTACCCTACCACTACTTTGAGTCACCATATTATGGGCTGGTGCTGAGAACTGGCGGAAGAAACTTATACTAAATAAAGATTAGACAAACAATTTGTGATGACTATTACCTATTTAGACATAAATTACAATCTTCAATCTGGAGCTAGGTCGTAAATTCGTAAAACAGCAATTTACATATCTACAAAATTATAAGATGCCCGTTTGGTGTAGTGGTTCGCATATCGGAAAACTATTCCCGAGGTCGCGGTTTCAATCCCCGCACGATACAAATATGTACAATACCCGGCAATAAACATTGCACATCGACCTTTAGAAAGAGACAATCGGCTAATTTCGGTTTCGTAGAGCGTTATCACTGTCGCACTTGAACAATGACTGACAATGACGTTTTGTCAAAGTGTAAACAAACTTTATATTAAATGTGTGCAATTGATTTTGTGAATTAAATTGCTAAAAACTTTTTATAGTCGTGAAAGAAAAGTGGTTTACAATGTGTTAAAGTGTTTGTCGAAGAGAAATACTAAGAGTTTAGACTATATTTTCATTGAATAATGTTTAGTCAATCGTATAGGTAGTGTGCGAGAGAGATAACGCTCTACGAGCCGAAATTAACCGATTCTCTTTCCAAAGGTCGATGTGCAATATTTATTGCCGGGTACTGTATTAAAGTAGCCAATAAGTTCGCAACACGTCATAAGGTTGTGTTGTCAACTTTTGGCCACAGGCATCACGAAGTATTTGAAGCTTTATTGAGTTTGGGCCAAGATAGCGCAGTGCATAGTGATGTATAACGTTCAATAATATAAAAAATGGCAATGCCAGATTTTGTATGGAAGGTGGCGTCTTTTTTTTCGCACGGCCATTGACCAAACCTTATTTTTTTATTACAAAATAGTGTAATAAACCAAACTTACTATGACATGTATACCTCTAAATTCAGTCTGAACTGAGTTACGAGCATTAGAAGTTTGATGATTTTACATTTGCTACTAGATTTGCTTTCTGTGCGCAAGTTTTGTAAGAAATTGCAACAAAATAGTGACATTGTATGTAAAAACAAACAATACCATCCATTATAGGCTCCAGCCATCAGTGTGGAGCAGAATCAGCGGAATAAAAAAATACGTCACTATTTTGTTGCAATTTCTTACAAAACTTGCGCGCTAAAAGCAAATCTAGTATGTAAAATCATCAAACTTCTAATGCTCGTAACTCAGTTCAGACTGAGTTTAGAGGTATGCATGTCATAGTAAGTTTGGTTTATTACACTATTTTGTAACCAAAAAACATGGTTTGGTCGATAGCCGCGCGAAAAAAAAAGACTCCAATTTCCGGCATTGTCTTTTGTCGTACCTGGTCGTCGGGCTTCTTGCCCTGGTCGCCCTTAGCCAGGCGGTCGAGCTCGGCGCGCGTCACCAGCACTTTGTCGGAGCGTCTGACTGGATATAGCAGGTCGATCACGCACACCAACACCTGGGTAAGGGAAAATTATATTAAAAACTTGAAAATAGCCTGAAGGTATCTTGTAAGGAAGGCCCTTCCAGTATCAATAAGGACAGATGCAAAATTTCAAATGTCAAGAGTACTTTTTCAATGGCCGCCGATAATGTAAACGAAATAATGCGACAACAAATTGCTTGTTCCCAACAAGTGATATTGTTTCTTTCGCATTAACGAAATCTCCTTATCCTCTCTTAAACTTAAGGTGTGACCCGTTGGGAAATAATCGTAATGAAAGAAGTCTTAACGAGTAACAGTGCAGCCAGTAGCAGTGTGACTTGTCGGGACAAAACATTGTAAAGAGATGTCCCATCGAGTAATGGTGTGACTGGATGAGAACAAGCGCAAAAATAATGTAAAAACATAAGAAGACCGCTCCAAGATTTGAAAGCGGACCTTTCTGCAGCCTTCATAAGGTCACCTGCCCACCTTAAGGGACCTCCACGTAATGCAAGCCAGTACGTGGTAAAGGTGTATGAGTCAAACCGGTTTCAAACTGGTCGCGTCATGTGTGGTCTCTCAACGGAATCTATGGTAGAAACTTAGATGCAACTCAAAAGTAACTTGAAGTTGCAGTTTCGTTGCAATTGCGTTTCACCGTGGCCAGTGGGCCTAACTAAAATGTATATATATACATGTATTATGTTTATGTCCTCACCAGTCCGAGCAGCGCGCCGATGAAGATGGTGGCGATGGCGAAGATCAGGTACGAGCCCCACGTGGGCAGCCCGTACGTCTCCATCAAAGTATTGTGCACGCTCTGCAACGGATAGATAGAAACTGTTTAATATGCAAGTTTTAATTCAGGGATGCACAGACCAGGGGCCACTCGACACAGATTATGAGCTGAAAGTGGGCCACAGAAAATAAAAACAACTGAATAAAGTTGCAAGTTTTTATATTTTCGTTATTTTTATTAGGTCTCTGGCGAGCGAACAGCTTGAATATGCTCACCGTTTACTCGTGGATAAATTAAATATGAAAAGTTCATATTTGATTACAATACAAAACTCCCAAGTATAACACTAATGTGTTGTAAAATACAAATAAAAAGATAAATGTCTAACATTAAAGGTATACAATATAAAAAGTTATAGCATTAAAAGTATAAGAATGGAAGCACCAATATGGAGACAGTACAGGACTGATTGTAGTGGAAATCTTTGGGGGTGGCATTTGTCTACTTGTGGACGGCCTTAGGCTGAAATGAACGGAGCAATCATTAATCCACTCACCCTTAAAGCCTGACTGAGCTTAAAGAACTCAGCCACCAGCGTCATCTGCAGCGAGTTAGGCGCCTTCCAGCCGGGGATGGGTTCCGTCTGCTTCCACCGCTGCTGCTGCACGAAGCCGAGCATTGAATCCGCGTCGCGCGGGCCTTTGTACTGGCGGAACTCGCCGTCTTTCACGCTGGAGAGAATAAAAAGTCATGTAAGTCATTTATGTAGAAAACGCAGCGTGAGACGTCCACCAACAAGGTGGCGACGACCTCTATAAAGGTAGCAGAAAGGCGTTGGATGCAGGCCGCTGCCAACTGGGCGATGTGGAAATTATAAGAGGAGAGTATGAGGTCAGCAATGGACGTCCTGTAGCTGAAATGATGATGATGATGAAGTCATTTATTATATGCAAAAAAAGGGGCTTTAAAAAGCGCTTTTACACTGTCCCAGTATTAGCTATAGATTTGTATTCAATTTCAAAACAGGCTATCTTATTTACATCATTTACAAAACGTCTACTTCTGATCATAGGTGCAAAATGTTTCCGGATTGGTAAATTCGATATTTTATAAGGTTTATTTGTCCACCTTGTGGGTGCGTTATTGTTCCTTGAACTAGCAATTTTTGTGCTTATGTCTATGTTGTAAATATGTAACATCTTTATTGGCTTTGTTTGTATTTCTAAATATTTCTTCTGCATTAGTCAATAATACCACAATACTCACTGGAAGATCGTAGGCAGCGCGGTGACCACGAATCTCCCGCTCAGCCCCGGTAACTTCCTGACGTCTCCAGCCTAGTTCTGTTAGTCCTTTTAAGTACCTCTTTTTATTAAGATTGCCGCCTTGCTTAATAAACCTACTCCCATTACCTAGAGGATAGTAAGTCCACTCACTAGAAGATCGTAGGCAGCGCGGTGACCACGAACCGACCGCTCAACCCTGGTGACTCGGTGGCGTCTCCAGCTTAGCTCTGTTAGTCCTACCTCTCTTTAATAAGATAGTTGCCTTACTTAATAAACCTACTCCCATCAGCTAGACCTAGAGGGTAATAAGTCAGTAAGCACCTCTCTTAGTCTTTTTAAGTACCTCTTCTTGCTTGAAAACCTAGTGTTATTAGCTAGAAGATAGTAAGCCTACTCACTGGAAGATCGTAGGCAGCGCGGTGACCACGAATCTCCCGCTCAGCCCCGGCGACTTGGTGACGTCTCCAGCTTAGCTCTGTTAGTCCTTTTAAGTACCTCTGTTAGTCTTTTTAAGTACCTCTTCTTGCTTGAAAACCTAGTGTTATTAGCTAGAAGATAGTAAGCCTACTCACTGGAAGATCGTAGGCAGCGCGGTGACCACGAATCTCCCGCTCAGCCCCGGCGACTTGGTGACGTCTCCAGCTTAGCTCTGTTAGTCCTTTTAAGTACCTCTGTTAGTCTTTTTAAGTACCTCTTCTTGCTTGAAAACCTAGTGTTATTAGCTAGAAGATAGTAAGCCTACTCACTGGAAGATCGTAGGCAGCGCGGTGACCACGAATCTCCCGCTCAGCCCCGGCGACTTGGTGACGTCTCCAGCTTAGCTCTGTTAGTCCTTTTAAGTACCTCTGTTAGTCTTTTTAAGTACCTCTTCTTGCTTGAAAACCTAGTGTTATTAGCTAGAAGATAGTAAGCCTACTCACTGGAAGATCGTAGGCAGCGCGGTGACCACGAATCTCCCGCTCAGCCCCGGCGACTTGGTGACGTCTCCAGCTTAGCTCTGTTAGTCCTTTTAAGTACCTCTGTTAGTCTTTTTAAGTACCTCTTCTTGCTTGAAAACCTAGTGTTATTAGCTAGAAGATAGTAAGCCTACTCACTGGAAGATCGTAGGCAGCGCGGTGACCACGAATCTCCCGCTCAGCCCCGGCGACTTGGTGACGTCTCCAGCTTAGCTCTGTTAGTCCTTTTAAGTACCTCTGTTAGTCTTTTTAAGTACCTCTTCTTGCTTGAAAACCTAGTGTTATTAGCTAGAAGATAGTAAGCCTACTCACTGGAAGATCGTAGGCAGCGCGGTGACCACGAATCTCCCGCTCAGCCCCGGCGACTTGGTGACGTCGACCGCGGCCGCGCGCATTCCCAGCTCTTTGCGCGTCGCCTGCGCAGATAGTTCCCGCCACGCCGGCGCGAGCGCATTGCACGCCGGGCACCAGGGAGCGTAGTCTTGCCTACTTACTAACAAGATTATTCCCAGCTCTCGTTCTCGACGCTGCAACTACGGTGTGCCAGGATCTACAGCTTGACCGTCTATAAAAACCTACTTACTAGATGATGGTACGTAACAAGGTGAACATGAGAAAATTTTTCATTTGAGCCTTCCCTAATGATTTCCAGATTCATCATCATCATTTCAGCCACAGGACGTCCACTGCTGAACATAGGCCTCCCCCAATGACTTCCACATCACACGGTTGGTAGCGGCCTGCATTCAGCACCTTCCTGCTACCTTTATCAGGTCGTCGGTCGACCTTGTGGGTGGACGTCCCACGCTGCGATTTCCAGATTAGCTTCCTGAAATCATCTGTCTACCTTGATGGTGGATGTCCCACGCAGCACTAGCTGGTTAGTCACCTACTTGATTTACAACCTTTAGCAATCAAGAAACCAGCTTCATTTGTTTTTGGTCTCCTCTTTATTGAATTTGACTGTTTGCCATGCTTAATAAATAGACCTATTCATTAGAAGTCCACTCACTGGAATATCGTAGGCAGCGCGGTGACCACGAATCTCCCGCTCAGCCCTGGCGACTTGGTGACGTCGACCGCAGCCGCACGCATTCCCAGCTCTTTGCGCGTCGCCTGCGCGGATAGTTCACGCCACGCCGGCGCGAGCGCATTGCACATAGGGCACCAGGGAGCGTAGTCTTGCCTACTTACTAACAAGATTATTCCCAGCTCTCGTTCTCGACGCTGCAAGTACGGTGTGCCAGGATCTACAGCTTGACCGTCTATAAAAACCTACTTACTAGATGATAGTACGTAACAAGGTGAACAAGAGAAAATTTTTTTTATTTGAGCCTTCCCTAATGATTTCCACATCACACGGTTGGTAGCGGCCTGCATTCAGCACCTTCCTGCTACCTTTATCAGGTCGTCGGTCGACCTTGTGGGTGGACGTCTCACGCTGCGATTTCCAGATTAGCTTCCTGAAATCATCTGTCTACCTTGATGGTGGATGTCCCACGCTGCACTAGCTGGTTAGTGACCTACTTGATTTACAACCTTTAGCAATCAAGAAACCAGCTTCATTTGTTTTTGGTCTCCTCTTTATTGAATTTGACTGTTTGCCTTACTAAATAAATAGACGAGAAGAGATACTCATTAGAAGTCCACTCACTGGAAGATCGTAGGCAGCGCGGTGACCACGAATCTCCCGCTCAACCCTGGCGACTTGGTGACGTCGACCGCAGCCGCACGCATTCCCAGCTCTTTGCGCGTCGCCTGTGCCGATAGTTCGCGCCACGCCGGCGCGAGCGCATTGCACGCCGGGCACCAGGGGGCGTAGCTGTGGAATATTAAGTATTACTTTAGTAAACGGCTCAGTCTTATTTGAAATAGCCTAAAAAATCAGTAGGGCCGTGTTTTGGAATGGAATACGGCCACTCTCACTCTGTAAATGTAGTGAGCCTTAGGACCTCCATCACGACGTAAGGTGGGGGCGGTCGGTCCGCCCCGGGTGCCAACTCATGCTACGCCGCCACCGCCCCCGTCTGCTCTCAAAGAAAACCTTTTTCAAGATGAAAAGGGCCCCGTTGATCCTGAAGTGCCCAGGGCCCCTAGTAGGTTAAAGACAGCCCTGGTTAAAAGCTATCCGACGATTGAAAAATCAGCCCTAAATCAGCTGGTCCCAGCATAATGATCTATTAGGATAAGACGTCATCATTTCATTTATTTCTTAAGTTAGGGAATGATTCACGGAATGATTCACTAGTGACTAGAATATTGTTTGCATTAGTCAATAATGTAACGCATCATCTTATTTTCACGATTATCTGTGTTTATGGCATTGTCTGTATGATGTCATAGATTAAATTAGTTGGTATCATATCCTGAAACCTTCTAAGGAAACACAACTGTTCTTGATGTAGAGAATCAAATGAGGGAGTCATTTACATATTTAGATTCCCAGAAACAAACCTACTAACTTGGATGATTAAAATGAAATAAAAAGTTATAATCGTTTATATTGACCTTGTGAAAATATTATACAATTTTATACATATAAACACTAGAAAAGTACAGAGAATGTAGTATAAATTTGTGTGAAAATAATCAAAGTTTATGTGAGTGAAGTTGTGGGTATAAGGTAGTTCAGCTATGTTGAACCAGGCCTGTTCATCTCCGCGAGTTTACATCGAAAACAAAACACGCACGATGGCCCACCTACAGGATACTATTCGACAGGGCCTCACATACGAGCGAACATTGACTCACGCACGCGTATTCTTGTGTATGATGGAAGAAAATAAAGAAAATGGTGTACTAAATACTGTGCAGTATTTAACTGCCTAAATAATAATAAAAACACAGAATGTAATTTTTTTAAGTTGCCTCAATACACTGAGAGGTAAATAAGTAGTTAATATTATTCATGATAATTCATGCTAAATAATGTATTTCCTCCGCCATTTTCCGTGGTTTGGCACCTCACGTCACATCATTTTACCGAAGTCAGCCCTATAGCTTCGGCCCAGTGCCGATCACTGACGTTTGTCAACAAAATGGTGCTTGACTCTTGAGACAGGCTACATTACACCATATTGTTAAAGACATTGAGCATACATTTTTTTAAATACCATCGCGAAGTAAAACTTCTGTACGTAGTACTTATTATTATTCTGTGGTTGAACTATCAGGTATCCGCTTACATTATGGAAGCAATGGAGTATTGAGCGTCATGGCCATTCCTAAAATATAAAAATAGATCACTATTTATCAATGTTTACAAACCATTTAACATCTACCAGAGTTGCCTCTAACTATTGGTAATTGATTCCAAGGAAAGGTCATGTCATATTTTTGATGATTGTTATTCAAATAAATGGTTTGTTAAATTGTAAACTGTAATCTTATTAAAGAACTTGTGTAATAAGAAAACCTCTGTGCATAAGTTTATTAACAACTTAATAATGTTTTCTGTACCAATTCATAGAAACTTGTAACAGCAACAACAATAATACTCTAGCTAGATGTGAAACGATCTAATTAGAATTAATTTTCATTAAAATTGGATCCTTTTGTTGCCCTGTGTCACATGAAAAGCATCCAGTTAAGGAGACAATAGTAAAAAAGTATGCGTCACGGTTTTCGAAACGGTTCTTCGGTCGGACCCTAGCTAGGCACGACCTTGTCGTGGTTTATTGAACCCGATGTGGGATGCTTGATTTTCACACCAATACCACCACCATTTATGCCAAAAACCATGCTAGATATCCATAAGAATAGTCCACCCTGGGCGTAGGTGGCTAAAAATAAGCTCTAAACAAACCAATTACATCGAAAACCGCAGCAAAACTTACATGACACGTTTTTACAACGAAACCGGTGGTGAAAAAATACTCACAATTCCACCATCCATTCTCCTTCAAGGATGTCCCTCCAATTATCTTCATCTAGCTCACGATTTGCACATACTGAACTGGTTAGAAAACATAAAATAACAGAGAAACAAAGGGAAAAATGTAAAAATTTCGGTGCCGTGTGTACGCGCGCCATGTTTGATTATGTTGTAATGTTGCCAGAAGTAAAGACTGAAAATGTACCAAATAAAACGTAAATTTTTTACTAAAATATTATTTGAAAGAAAAAATAAATAAACAAAACTAAAAGTGTTAAAACCCAGTTCTTTCACAAACAACAAAGCAATAAACAACAAGCAAATCAAATTGTTTCATAATTAACGTTTTTTAGTTTTTGAAACCTTGCAAAATCTCTCTTTTTTTTAAGATTATTAGCAATTTGTATTGCACAAATTATTAATAGTCCCGTTGGCCTCTCGTGTTAAGCTAAATAAGCTTGTGCTACGAGTGGGCTCACCACAATAGTCGAGCGGCGCGGGTGGGATTCGAACCGCGGCGCGTTCCTTCGGATCTCGAGTCGGCCAGTCCAACCACTTCACCGTTGGGCTATTGTGGCTATAAAATCATTGAATTAGCTTCTCAGTTAGATTGGGGTATTCTTTGTAACATAAATACATACATAAATAATATAATAAATCCAACCAATAGAAAAAAATCTAGAAAAATCTAAGTATTTTTGGATTTTATTTCATATTGTTAAGTGTTACATTTATGTAAAAGTTTATATAATGTTTACGGTGAAATGCCAATGTATAATGCGTCTCTGGTGACGCTCTTTTCAAAATGGTCCCTACAGAATACCAGCATCATGTTCTTTACGGAATATGATACAAGCATATGTAGGAGCCATTTTGGTTCAACAATTTATTCATATTATGAATATTATTAATATTATTATTAATTATTATCCAAATTGTGTGAAATTAGTATGTTTAAACGAAATAAACAATTTTTCTTTCTTTCTTTCTTTCAATAAAATTATTTTTTATCAAAAGTATATTTTCACACAAATAAATCAGATCACATTAATCAACATTCATCTTGGAGATTGAACTTTTTTCACTAAGTAGTTACTTTTTCTGGTTCTACTTAAATAGTAGTATTCTCCCTAAACTGGCAGCATTTATTTGCGATAATGTTTCTTTTTTAATTTTTAAATGAATGCATTGTAATACAAAACAATCATTCTGTTACGATATAAAGCAAAAATATTTGCCTAATTTTAGTTTTTGATAGGTATTATTAATTCGAAGATTCTTTTTATTAAAAAAATATTGAATACTAACCCCATCTAGTAGTCTTTACGGTTTATTTTTTCTTCAAAAGCCTGCTAGATGGCGGCACTTGCATTCTCAATCAACAACCAACCAAAGCCAAACAATGGTCTCGTAGTGAGGTTGAAGAAACTAGCCTCGTGTTCGAATCCCAGGTGAGCCACACAAATTAGAGCGTAAAATAAGGTAGGTATTACTTTTTAGTAAGGTAAGGTATTGCCTCAGAATATTACTAATTAATATCATTGGCATTCTCGAATGATTTTCTCATTCGTCTTTATCCTACAGATTTTTTTTATGCTAGACAAGGCAGGTATTTGACCGCAATCGCACCTGATGTTAAGTGAGATGCAGTCTAGGATGGTACATATCTGCCCTGTAAGTGCCTATTGGTACTACAAGTAGGTACATTACTAGTTTTGAAATACTGATGTAACCTTAGATTAATATTAATCTAAGGATGTAACAAGATAAGTAACTAAATTACTCAGGGACCTAAGTACTGAGAGTTGACACTTTAGGCCTTGTTCAGGAGGGTGAATAATTAATCTCTACTACTTCTTACCAAACTTTGTCTAGGCAAATCCAATTTCAAATGGCCCGAACTGGAAAACCGGAAAGAATGAAGTAAATGAGTGGTTCCAAATTTGAAACTTAGATGTTTCACTGAATCGTACCTAATTTCCGCAATTTTGAAAACTCGTCGTCCATAGACAAAAAAAACTTTTGAAAATTCAAACCCGTCTTTAGAACGCAAAGGAATAGTGAGGTACCTAGTGTCACGTCACCGTGCGGGTAGGGCTTCCCTGGCTTCGTGTGACTCGCCTTCTAATGTGATTACAGGGAAGGACGCGTTTGGAGGTTAGAAGGCAACGAAAAATATTTATTTACTCATGGCCACGAGCTAGCTGGTACATTTCCTAGGATTTTAACAGTAAATAAAACGTGTATTATGTGATATAAACTAAAAATACCTATTTCTGTAATTATTGTTACTAATTCGATAACAAAAAAGAAAGACTATTTCTTGTTAACCGCCTCTGTGGTCTAGTGGTAAACCACCTGCTTCAGACCCAAAGGTCCCGGCCCGGGTTTGATTCCTAGTGGGGGCAGAATTTTCTGTTCTGTTCGGTTGGTGGTTAAGACTCGTTAGTTCGCCTGGCTAGTTACCATATTACATCAGCCTGTCGCTATAATAACAATGTTAATAGCATTGTTGTGTTCCGGCAGTTTTTAAGAGAGTCGGTTCCCCTGTGGTATAGGATTCCGGGTGAAGCTCGCTTCCACCTTCAGCCTGATCATCACTTTTCATCAGGTGAGATGCAGGCCGAGAGCTTCCTCTTTGTGTTTTTTTATTATTGTAATCAAACCACCCTAGTCCAGCTCCAGTTTTTAATTCCTGACGAACCCCTGATGACCTTTCTCTCATTTTTTGCCAATTGATATCAATCGCTCAAGTGTCATTCATTTCTCTCACCGAATCGAATTAAAAACTAGACTTATAAACATGGCGGCCAACATCAAGAAGTCATTGTTTATAATAACATTTGGGTACACGACAGGCGTGCAGTTACAAAAAGCGTCAATGTGCTGCGCTTGAGCATTTAAATAAATAAATAGATACCGATCGAAGTGTGACAGTTGTCAAACATCAAAATATTTTACGCGCGCTTTCTGTGACACAACACCGTTGTCTATGGAGTGAACAGGGTTGGCGACTGTAAGTGATCAAAGTTCATATTATTATTATTATTTTTTCTTAAGATTTAGGTGCACCATCTATACTCTGAAAAAAACATAAACTTCCTTCTAGTGCAATCAAGTAAAAACTCTACAATCATTGGAGATTTTGAGTAAGTAAGTTAAGGTAATCAGAAGGGTGGACCACCACGATCTAGTGAAGGTTTCGTGAAGCCATGGCACCTTGATGCGGGCAGCACAGGACCAGTCATTGTGTGAGGCCTTGGTCCAGCAGTAGATGTCATTCTACTGAAACGAACGAACTCACTAGGTTGGTAGAGTCAAATTATTCTTATCAGATTTTTTATATGCCATGCCTCTGATAGCGCCTGACTAGCATACGCTATTCTGTACATTCAGAGGATACCCTCTGAAATGGATTCAAACTGCAATAAGAGACTGGGTACCATACCACAGCACAAATAGTGATCCACTTGGGAATGGAACCTTCGAGATTTTTTGGTTTACTTTCAGAGGTACGAAGAAAAGTGTCCAACGCATTTTCTTACACAATGCGACAGCCCTACATTGCCCCAGTTTCAAAACTCGAACACTGGCGATGGTATTTTGTTTTTTCAATTTCAAATATCGAACCGAAGGAGCTCGCTTGTTTATTTTCACAAGAATAGCATTGTTTGTGGACAAGATCCCCGTATCTAGATCAATGGATACCAATGGATACCTCGATGCGTTTCGTTTTTGTGCGTGACTGTGCGTTTCGTTTTGTCACTGGAGCTGATAAGGTGATAAGTGTTACGCATTTTTTCTTTTGTGAAATTCGAACTTTGGTATTCGGGATGGTTGAATGGTGAGTAATGTGTTGTTTTTTTGACATAAACATGGTTAGGTGGTTTTGACTGTTCCACTCAACGTCATCTCATCAGGTAATCGTGATTCCAAACTTTCAAGTTTAAGAGAAATCTTGTTAAAACAACAAGGAACTCTACCTTACATTTACCTTTTCATTTCATTTTCGTTATCTGCTCGATTCAATACAAACGCAATGTAGAAACAAGAGCTTAAAATAGTGGCATCTTATATTATTGTTACAAAGAGGTTCGATTTTCGATATGTTTGTATGATACAGTCTTTTCTTTCACCAACATTTTTAACTTTTCTCAAAAACTTTCAGCTGATTTTCCAATCTTGGCGTTAGATTGACTGAAGTCCATCCACCAAATACAGCTTTTCAAGTCCTACCTACGAGGCACTGCAATTGCATACGGCCATATGCCAACGCTTGCTCTTATTCGATAGAGGGGGTTTATAGACCAAAAACGGAATCTCTACTAAACATTAACGGTTTAAAAACAAAAACAATCAGGAAGATCAAAATCTCTTTCATAAGAGTCTAATTCAATAATTAAATGCTTAAGTAACTACGTTACGTAGAAAATAGCATCCAGTTAATTAAAATTTTATGTTCGCACTAGCTAATGGTACCAGGTAGGTTTTATTAAATTATCTTTATGATATTCGCACTTAATCCTAACGCGACCTGTGTGGCTCTATGATGTTAGATATCACCGGACTTTTATGAATCAGTTGAAAGTAATCTCGAAACAGGTCCAGCTCAGTAATTAATAATGAAATTTTAATCGTCAATTTTGTTGAAAAACACAAACATTAAGCCATCCGCCATCAGACGGCGACATTCCTTCCAATCGAGCTGTCAAACCTCCACCAACGAATACGACACAGCTGTCAAATTACACTTTTTTAATTTATATTTTTTTACGACGGCCTCGAATTTTTCGGCCAGCTTCAGTTGTCAAATTAGACGCCGTGTGTTCGATATTTAACACTTTGACACTGGCAGCTAATCCCCAACAATTATTTTTCTTTTTCGACGCGCCAAGCAAGATGGCCGCGTAATCCTTTTAAACGTGGTCTCTTGGTAAATAACTTGCATCGTATTTCTCAACTTAGGTCCTCGCTTGAAAAAATGTAATCGGAAACTTGGCGATCGGAATACTTGTCCACATTAAAAGGGTGGAAGAATTTCAAAAAAACGACGATTTTATTCTCACATTTCAAATTGGCGTTACTTTTTAAAAGGTCCATTACAATATGGATGACGGATTTAAAAAGTTAAAAGTTACTCACTCCCACTACTAATGCTAAGAAAAAAAAAACGC